TGAGGTCCGAAACAGTGTGCGGCCCACAGAGCTGCTCTGCGGTGACTCAAGCTTCTGTCAGCGTTTGCGGTAGAAAAACGCCATTCGAAAACCTATGTGGCGCCCATACGCAAATGCTACACCCGCAACACCCGCTACCTTAGCGCACGCTATTCGCAACCTCCGTAATACTTCGGTATGCTTCTATAGTATGTCGGCATGTATCGGTAACCTATCGGCAACGTAACCGAAAACTACGCGGTGCTGGCGTCAACCAAACAATCTCAGTACGCGCTGCGGAGCGTTCGGTTTAAGCTTGCTGACAACTGTATACGTGTCGTCCCAAAGGGGCGTCTCCATTTCTAGCGAAGATCGAATCCCACTGCCGTATAGCATTGCGCAAGGAACACGGTAACCCATTAACAGACGAAAGAATTCGAAACACACAAGCACAAAGAGAATGTTAAATAGGCCAATGAGATTAAACATTTCGCAGAACCTCGCAGGTAATAAATGGCAGCACAAAGCACAAGACCAGGTCGATTGATAGATCATGGGAGAAGCCGTTGCCCTGCAATGAGCGTAGTCATTCTGATAACATCATGATTATTGTTATTAATGAAACATAAGCGTTTGCATCTGCAGTTTACACTGTAGTTGTTCGATTGAGTACCAACTAACCCTTCGGCACTGGCGCCGCAGGTATAACAGCCTCGCGGACCCGCCTGATTGTAGTTTGGTCTCCGGTAGTGAACGACCGAGAATACTTTCTCGTTGAACATAAGATGCAAACATGAATACCTAGCGTGTTTTGGTAATGTTCTACTGAACTGATCGCTACAGCAATTGAAAGTGTAGCAAGAGCACTTACCTGCTCTGCTGGAAGACGGGCACGATGTATTCATTTTTTTAAAACATTGAAACAAATCACTTGTAGCACGGCCGTGGAACCAAGGAAGCGAGACTTTCTGCCGCAAAATGCAAACGGCTTGCGCCCGGAAAGTGAGGCACAATGGTAACGCTTGTCTGACATTGCCAACGTTCTCACATGAAGCAGAGTGCTTCGTTTAGTGCTTCCTTAATCACGAGGCATGTCCGGCAGAAGCAGCAATTTCCACTTCCGCGCATGTAAAAAGACGAGAGGAACATTCCTGGCTTTACAGATGCAGGAAGTGTGGTCTGTGTGAGGACACGATATAAAATGATAACGCTTATCTTTCGCCATCATCGGAATTCTCGATGTCGACTCTGTCAGTGGCCAACCGTAAGTGCATGCGTGGCCAAGTTGATTGGACTTAGTTTGTAAGCTCCCGACGCGTCGGCAGAACACATGAAATTTAAAGAAAAGACAAAAAATTTAGTTAAGTTCAGGAGCTATTATTCGCTCAACTTTTTAGGGGCGAAGCTCCTTAAGGCGTGGGTCTGTCCATCCCTTGTATGTATGTAGTAGTACGTAACCACAGGTGGCACATACCCACTCTGGAGCTCGTATGTGCCACAGGGGATGCGAGATGGTAGATGGCGGTACTTGGAGTGTTCACTAGCTGGACGCACGGACGGACGGACAGACTAGCAGACGGAAGGACGGATGGACGCAAGAACAGACAGACAGATGAATGGACGGACGCATGGAAAGACGGATGGGCGGATGGATGTACGCACGGATGGTCGCGCGGATGGACGCAAGCAAAACGAACGAACGGACGGAAGCATGGATGGGTGACAGGATGCTTCTCCCCACTCATCATCATTCACTCCGTGGATATGCTGTGATTTTTTTTTCTTTCTCATTTTGGTCCACCCGTCCCGTCCAGCACATTCTGACAATGTTGCAAACAGAGCGGTCTCTGGGTCGCTCACGAAGGTTAATAATAACAATAATTTCTGGGGTTTTACTTGCCATACATAACCACTATATGATTATAAGGCACGCCATTGAGGGCTTCGGATTATTTAGCCACGCCGCGTTCTTTTACGTACACCGAAATTCGGGTACACGAGAGTCTTATATTTACCTTCCATCAAAATTGCAACCGTCGCTCCCGGAATCAAACCCGCGACCTCCGGGTCAGCATCGAGCACCGAAGTCACTGATGCCACAGTGGCGACTCACTAACCAATGTTAGTAAAAGTGCATTGACAGAAATAATCGTTGAATTTCTTTCATTATTAAGCCTACCTAATTCATGGTGGCTTCAACCTATCTTTACGGCATTTTTTTTTCAACGTGCAACAAGATTGTTTGGAATAAACATGTATGCACGAATACATTTTAAAATCAAACCATGAGGTAGAACTCTGGTAAGGAAACGAGCAAGAGGTGTAACTACTAGCTAGTCCGCCGCGGTGAAGCAGTGGCTCAGTGCTCGGCTGCTGACGCAAAGGTCACAGGTTCCAACCCGGCCGCGCCGGCCGCATTTCGATGAAGGCGAAATGGTAGAGGCCGGCCTGTACAGTCCACGTTGAGGAACAACAGATGGTCGAAATTTTTTGAGCCCTACACTAAGGCTTCCTGCATAATTGTGTCACTGTATTGCGGCTTTAAGCCCCTGATAATATTGTTGGCGTTACTCAATAGCTCTCCCCTAATAGATTTGAAAGTTAAGCTAGTTGGTGACTGATGATTGTACCATACGTTGAACTAGTGCACTTTTGACGCTAAAAACAGGAAAAGGGAGGTTGCATTTATCAATTATGGGCTTCACTTAGTTATCGGCAAGACACCGTCCCGGAATGTGATTAGTTGTAAGTACATAAAACTGCTTTTGTAGTGCTTTCAATCGTCTTCACTTTCCGTCATGATACCAATTTCGACCTCCATTTGAAGCGCTGTAAGGTTGCAATCCGTCTTATCAGGCTGCCATTCTCGACTGTAGGTATTTATCTATTTTTCATGTGTCTGAGCTGCACATGCGTCGTCCTATCGCTTTAGTGTGCACTAAGTTTGTTATTTGATGGGAATGCTTTTGACTGTTCGTTAGTTTCACTGAGGTGTCCCTCGGTGGCATGTGAGTGCGCATTCTATCTATCTATCTATCTATCTATCTATCTATCTATCTATCTATCTATCTATCTATCTATCTATCTATCTATCTATCTATCTATCTATCTATCTATCTATCTATCTATCTATCTATCTATCTATCTATCTATCTATATCTCTATCTATCTATCTATCTATCTATCTATCTATCTATCTATCTATCTATCTATCTATCTATCTATCTATCTATCATCTATCTATCTATCTATCGTAATCTATCTATCTATCTATCTATATCTATCTGTATATCTATCTATCTATCTATCTATCTATCTATCTATCTATCTATCTATCTATCTATCTATCTATCTATCTATCTATCTATCTATCTATCTATCTATCTATCTATCTATCTATAAATTAAGGTGCGAGTATCGTGTCTATCTTGTCCCGTTTGTCGTCCTCGTCAGAAGTGTACTACTTCACCATTCGCTATAATGAGCACCCGTACAGTGTTGACGTTACGTACACAAGCCGTGGTAATTTCTATGGTTGGGTGTCTCGATGCAAAGCAAAAGATGCGGGTACGGAATGTATTCAGATTTAGGCTCCGTTAAAGAGGCTTTTTTGGCTGAAACTAACTCGTGGTCACGCCACTACGGCCAGCCTCATAATCATATTCGTGGCTCTTGCACGTAATACCATAGCAATTAAAATTTATTGACGTCAAGCTCGCAAATCATCAGGACATCCGAAACTCGGCCTCAACATGTGTTCGTGATGCAAATTGTTTGGTACCTGCTTCGCAGTAATGACGTTAGAGTGGTGGAAAGTCAACGTTGGATAGCTTTGAGAGCCACTTTCCTAAATTTTAAGTAACTCAAAACTCCCAGTGAATTGGGTACTTCATTACGATTGTATAGGGTGTTTTCAACCACCATTATTTTTGTCCTTTTCATCTAAGACACCTTTCAATGGCTTTTACACGGTTTAACAATTTCATCGACGCAGAACGAAGAGGGACTTCAAGTGGATGGGAGCGCATTGCGAGCCCATAACTATGTGTTGGTAGTAATTATTTCTGTTACATTTTCTATTCGGAATTTTTTTCTTATCTCTCTGCAACTTCTTTTCTCCCCTTCATTCCTTCCCCAGTGCAGGGTAGAATACCATATGTGTGTGTCATTAACCTCCCCGTCTTTACTTTCATCTTTATCTCTCTCTCTCTCTCTTAGTTGGCGTGTTTTACGCTGACAACTGATCGAATCACCAAGTATTCCCTCGCCGTAATTATGCTTGATAGCTTGTTATTTTCTTCAGCAGCAAAGATATACTGACCTATCATAGACTATCTTTGAAACTCATCCCGCGTACGGTTAAGTAGAGTGAAACGACACGCACCTTTTGTAAGTGTTTGGCAACCGCAACCCACCAACAGTCTGTTACGACTTCAGAAGTCAGCGGCGTTTCCTCCTCAAGGGCGGATGCATGCAAGCAAGCCCCAATGGGTGCGTACTCTAGACTGACGTCATGAGCAGGACGGCGCGTCACTCTGTCTTCGGAGAGCATTGCCCAGTGCATGAGCGGGGCTATTTCTTTAGTCGCAGACGGAGGCAGACACTCGGTGGATTTCTTGGCTTACAGTTGCCTCCTCCGCGATGTGCTCTCTTCAACGGCTGATCGGGGCCCCACCAGTGGACTTCTCTACTAATCATCGCCCATTTTATTGCATTTCTTCCTATCTCGTTCATGCCCTCTTTTTCACTTGCCCTGCCAGCTACTGCTGAATTGTTGCACTTTGAAACAGATGGTTGCGAATTTCCCTTTGCTCTTCTTTTCTGGTTTTGAAACCACCACTCAAAACGTCACATTCACTTCAATTCATTACAAATTAGAAGCATTTTTTGCCGTACACGGCAATCTAAAATGCGGAACGCTGTTCAAGGTGTTCCACAATAATTAAGCATGCACTGTCAATTGAGTGAGAGTGCAAGGTAATAACTGGACTCTCACTTCTAAGACGACTCAACAATTCAAGGTTTCCTTTTAAAACATATCTTTATTCACTTGTTCTCACGGTTAGCAGGGGATCTGTCAAAATAATGAGGGGCCGGGAAATACGCCACAAAAAATAATATGAGCAGTTGGCATGTGTTATCTCACCTCCTTGCGTAAAAAAACAGATAACAATTCGGTGGCATCTTGAACACCTAAACAAAGAGAGCATTAGATCAATACTATTTACAGAGAAGGCCCTCTTTGCAAGGCATGCAAGCGCGGCGAATTATTTCCGTGCAATAACGTACGGCCCTAGTATTAGTGACGGCATCCTCGTGAAAGGCTTAGTGTCGGGCTAGTCGTACTTCAACTAAGCAGCTAAGACTCCCAACAAATATTGCCAAAACTTGATTTTCTCAGTTCGTACAAGAGTGAAATAACTATATTGATAGAAACAACACAGTGCAAGCTAGCCGTGACAAGTACTCAAGTGAGAAAAAAAAAACTAGGCATCTTGTAATTACATATGCACATTCCGGTTACATTTATGATACAATGGAACAAGGCAATGATAGTCTATATTATGTACAAGCACTTGCTGACAAAAACAATGGTGCGCGTGTGATCGAATCTTATGGCAAGCCTAAGTTTTTGTAGAAGCAAAACGAAACTGTCAGAAAAGACGAGCACACAGCGACGAGTACAAGCGAGCCGTGGCATGCACTCAAATGCAAACAAAAAATAAACTAGGCATCTTCTAATCTCAGTGGCGCTGAGTTTACAGGTGAGGCAAAAAGAAGGCGGCTGACGTTATAGCGATACTCATTAGATAATTGTCAGCAGGTATCGCAGTACTAGCATCCATAGTCACCTTTGTATGGGACTCTTGTAAGCACAACAATCACACAAGGAGAGGTTATGAGGTGGGAACATTAAAAAGTTGCATAGCTTCGAGGAAGAACATCCTAGGGCTTGGAAACGTTTCGAGCAAGGCACAGTCGTCTAAATTGGGGCGAAACATATGAAAAAAGAAAACCTCCTCCTATATATGCGAAATTGACACCTCGGTAATGATTCATCGTTAATTAATCTGATTAGGATTAATGTGCCAATCGTCGTAATCTGGTGTATTCGCGGAATGTAGACACGTTCTCCACCGAAGAGTTCTAAAAAGGTCGTGCAACGACATCCGAGTCTCCTGTCGACGAGCCGGACTTGGAAGTCTGCATGTAAGAAAAATGAAAAAAAAAATCTTCAAAAAAGCAAGAACACGACAACAACAAATATGTGAGGTCACAAAGCTGACGTAAAGGTGTGCTGCAGGCATGTTTTCGAATGCACTATGTTAATGAAATTATAGTACAAAGCATTTACGACATACGGGCAATATTATTTAGGCCATTCGTTGCGAGTTGCGTTCCCCTCTAATCAGGCAGCGGCGTATAGGCTGCGAGAGTAGGCGATCTTATCTCAAGTTTGGCGTACAATCAGTCACACTCTTCTGGTGGTCAGACCGCTTTATTTGCTGCCGCTCTCACCCCAGATAGCTACTGCTACTATAGGTATCTATACTCACGAGGGGATGTTTACTCATTAATCAATCATTATCGATGGTCGTTAGTGGTCGGGATGGAGATGCATCGCTAAGCGTCAACATAGATGCATTCGCGAAAAAGGAATTTAGTTCTCAAACAACAACAGACATTCAATAAGCTCTCTTATATCAATGTACCGGAAGCACTAAACTACTTCTGTAAGGAGACGACTTACTTTGGTGTTATACCGATTTTAAGACAAAAAGTGAAGCATGTTATTTAGTTTTTTTTAAATGCATCATTATACACAATTCATATTGATCGATGTCCGGAGAGAGCAAAATACCACGGCAGATAAAAATTACTTAGAGTTAAGAATTAATTTTTAAAGCAGATAGTGAGGAACGAAGGTTAGGACGGGCACGTAGGCCACCGAAAGGCACCGTGCATCAAAGTGAAACACCACCAGTGCTCTAAATATATCGAATGAAGTTGGATCCGAACTCTAAGATGATGGCTGAAACATTCCTCAGATATATTGAAGCAAGGTTTGATTGCCCTCGCTGATGCTACAGCCGTTGTTTTTAGAAACAATGTGTTGTTTTGCATAGTCCCCCGTCAGGGTGGGATTTATTCGTTGCGTATACTTTGCTCTCAAGGTCCGCAAGGGTCTCAGCTAGATACGCAAAGCGTCGCGGATTTCAATATGCAATCTCACCGACTGCGTGTGCCGCCTGGACCGGGCGCATGGATCGTACTGTTAGCTCGCGCGTAAGTCTCAGACGCACCGACGAAAATAGGGCACCGAAATAGAAAGACGCTAGAACCGATAGGACCCGAACGGGTTGATGGGAAAACAAGTTATTTACCCTTCGCGTTCTCGAGGCGTCGGCACGAAGACCCTGCATTGGACTAGCTGATGGGCCAACGTCATTTCCGGACTCATCACAGCGGCTGTTTTCCTGAAAAGAACCAGATTGAAATCTTTCCTGTAGAAATCGCGCCACGCTGGAAAACGAAGCATAGAAATGTAGGGGCAGCAGAGAAGTCGACCGCATTGGCCTTCTACGGCCTTGTGTGTGGGTTTTAGAGAGCCGGGCGGGTGCCTTCGATTCAAAGGTGGAGGGTAACAGAGCAATATTATAGAGGCCTTGGCGACTTCAGAACCAACAGCACTGGTCGGCTGCATTCACAACGTGAAACATGCTTGAGGACTGTACATTTTCGTCAGTGCTACAAGAAGAATATTTATTCGAGCGAAAACCTCTTAATAAATCATGCACACTAGATATTCCACAATGCAGGACATACTTCTTTTCTTTATAGATTAGCCATACTTGCGTCAAAATGATAGTATCGAGTGTGTAGCAGCCGTAATGTTTCAGGGAAGCCTATGAACCACAAAAAGCACAATAAAACTCACAATGATGTGTTCAGAAACGTAGTTTTATTTAAAATGGTAAGATGGGTATGTTGGCTCATCAAGAACTTTGAATTAACAGACAGAATCAAATGAAGATCCACAATTCAAGCTCTGGTCACTCTTGTGGTTTAAAATGTTATCCCAAGTTTGGCGCAGTGTTACTTCACAGATTTCTGTTAGGTTAACTTATTTATTCATGTACAGCACCATACTCTTCATTAAATTTAAACAGCACAAAATTAAATTTTTGAGAAATGAACTTCATACAATATGTGCGTATCACTGAACACAGCAGCATAATTAGACCGCTGGTTTCCGAGTGCCCTGGATTAGGCTTTTTTGCTTCACTCCTTGGTGAAAAACTGCCAACAATATTAAGCAAGCTCGGTTTATGCAGGGTTAGCTGGTTATTTATGTGACATGCCTGTAAGTAGCTTTATCTTATTTCGACGGCTCGTCTATCTCTGAGTGTCTCTTTGTTCGGCGTAAATCGTTTTCTTCATAAACATTGGAGATTTATGAAGCTAGGATTCTGCGTATATTTACTGCGCATCAAAAAGAAAAAAAATTAGCCCCGTATCTACATGTTATACTGCAAATGTCATCGAAAGACTGATAGTCTTGCGTCTGGAGAGAGCTAACAAAACGTTTATTTAATGTTTTACGCAAGAAAAACGGTGTATGGTATTCTGGAGGCGCTACGTTAGAGTGCCTCGAGCGTGCAGCGGATGCGAACGAGCGCATCAAGTCACGTCACACATGAGACATGAGCGCTACCTGGCAGTAGTTATCTTAGAAAACGAAGCGCGCGGCGTGCGCGCCCGTGTCGGAGGCGATAAGGTGTAGAACGCAAGGCGACGGGTAGGTGCCACCACCGTGTCGTCTCCGCTAGTCTTAGCAAAGCGTTGGATACACCTTTTCGTGCAAGCGTTGCATTTTCAGCGCAACGTGATAAATGCTACGGTCCTTAGAATTACTTATGTATGCATTTTCTTGTAAAAAGACACTCATACAAAATATTGACTTGTTGTTATGGTGCCTAAGATATGCGCAATAATTGATCGGAGCACCCTGCATGTGTGTGCATGAATTTTTTTAGAATTTATTTATATCTCTCTATATCTACCCTTTTTCCGACCCTTATTTCCCCACCCCTGTACAGGGTAGCAAACCAGTTCTACTATGTTAACCTCCCTGTCTCTTCCTTTTATTTATTTCTCTCTTTCTCTCTAACTGACAATCGAACAAGTGTGAACGCTGAATCTTGAGCAGTATTGGTGAGCGCTGCGGATAAGGTTGGCCGTTTGGGGCTTTGTTAAGGGTGGAGAAGCAGACAAATGTACAGACAGACAGATAGACAGACGTACAGACCAAAAGTTTTCTTCCGTAGAAGGTCGCCAATAAAGACTATCGTCTTCAAAAAACACGTATATGTGATAGAAGGCAATCGTATGGTACCCCACTTCTCAGAACCGGTCCCCTAAATGTGACGAATTGGACACGCCGGTGCCATACGCCGATTATGATTGGGAGGGAGGCCAGCCATAAATACGCGTGTCGAGAAACGAGAAATGAGTAAAAAAATATGTAAGTACTATCCTTCTTTTATGAAAACTTCAAATGACACGCTAAAAAATGGTTATTCGCAGACATTTTGTACTGAGTTGCATGATTTTACGATTGGCTACGCTGTTTAATTTTTAGTCACCTCTGTATCATGAAGTGAAAAACTTCACTCATTTTCACAGTGACGAATTGCTTGCAATAGTTAAAACAATTACGTGTTCTATGCTATCTTGTTTCATTTCTGGCTAAATTCAAATGTTTTTTCTCTCCCTGAACAAGAAATTAGGATATATGTAGTTTCTATAGGGCATGTATCACGTGCCTTATAACACACTACACAATTATTACACATCAAACATTCATACACATCACACACAATACAAATTACACATTTATAAAAGAGAACGTATACAATAAAAGGGCCAGTTTTAACCAGAGAAAAGCAATCGCACCCTGTGTGATTGCAGCATGCTATGAAGCTAATATTTATTCGATTAAATGTTTCGTGGGAAGTGTAAAACTTTGTTTATCAGGTTAAAGTGCCGTAGTAGATTGCTTCAGGCTATTTGCAACCACCCAGTGTAGATAATTACAAACGAGAAAAAGACGGCACCAAGAAATGCACAAACACCAAGTATTGACCGAAGGGTCAATTAAGCCTTCGTTTACGATGCCGGATTAACCGCTTCTGCAAATTGGTCGTCGCTCATCGTCTCTTGGCATGAAGAGATTAGGAGATGTCTAAACATCATTATAGCTCGCAAGTTCTAATTCACGGGATACTCCAGGCCTTATTTTGCGAGAGATCAGTGCGACGTTGCTACGAGTGACTGCGCGGATGTGTGGGTGTTGCTTTCTGAGCTTACAGTGCAGATAAAAAAAAGGATGCGCCTGATTCGTTCGTGAAACGCAGCAGTCATCGCAGTAAGAAAATCTTGACCCATGTTTTGCCTTACTGTACACTGATGCTTTTCGTCAAAAGGGATTACGCGAAATTAGTTTTTACGTGCAAAACAACAATGCAAGCACTCAGCACGGATGTTAACCATCGGAGCTGAAACGTCCGGTCCTGGTGTTTATCACAAGCTGAGATCCTTTGAAATGTGTCTTGCTGTAGCTTTTATATTCGATATCAACACATTTTAAGAGATGCATGCTTCCAACGAGTTAGCTTCAATATTGAGAACACGTAAATGACGCAAACTGAAATTAATACTTGACTGAGTGGGCGCTGGATAGGCCAGTGTTATCTTGAGTTGTTTCATGCTAGGTATCACATCGTAGACAAAAGCTTTACGGGGAAGGAGTGGAACGAGAGCTGGAGGAGGAGCAGTGATGCCGTTGACACCCACGTCGCAAACAATGTGCGGTAGGCCTATTTTTGTTTGAATTGCGCACGTGACAGATGTCGCATTGAAGGTCACAATTTCCTTTCGCTATATATGGAGGTCATTTGCCTTACTGTGACACTCAGAGGGTGTCTGAAAGGCGGCCAATACAGCCCTTAATGCGGAGCAATTCTTCAGAATTTGAAAAAGTCTTAATTTATTTCCAAGATATATAAAAGAATTTAAATTTGCAACGCTGTGGCTCACTGTTTATCATTATGGCTCCGCAGCTGAGCGCCTTTTTTGAGAATTTAATACACAGGCCACATTGACTCCATTCTGATAAGCGCATGACGCAGAACCCCTTAGTAGCCGGCCTTTCTGAGCTTCACGTGGCAAGAGTATTTTAAAAACTGCCACACCCCTTTGTGACGTCAGGTGTGTGCGTGAGTGCGCTCCTTCTCTATATTTTTCCTTTCACTCTCTCTCATCTTTTCTCCTTGTGCAGGGTATTATACCAGTTATGTCCATGCTGGTTAGGCATCTCTGCCTGTCCTCTATTCTGCTGTTTTCCTTTCTTCCATTCACGTGTGATCACCTTATGCGCGGCGTGTGATCCTTCCTTTCTTCCATCACGTGTGATGACCTGCGCGAGGTGCAGAAATACGAATATTTGACGTGGATTTAAAAATAAAAAGTGTAAATACAGAAAGGATGTCGACGATTTGCGTCCAGATAACTCAATCTGCACTCTTACAAAGGCGGGGCTGCAAGTTTACGCGCTTCGTTCACATTGAGGGCATAGACACTTTACTCACATCTTTAGTATTGTCCCCGCCTCCGCCTCGTGAAGTGCTTGGCACGGCGTCGTCGTCGGGTGCCTCGGGGGGCCGCAGCCTCTTCACTGCGGGCCGGATGGTCGTCTCGTCATACGAGCGGCCCGCCTCAGAGATGGTGCTGCAACATACATCGTGTATCTTCATGAATTTGCTTGAATTGTATTGTTTAATAATGACACGTAACACCTTCCATTCATTCCTCACTCTTCCTGCATGTTTACCACTCATAATTTGTCTCCATATGAATGGGCAGTCATTTGTATAATAAGGCGAAAACCTTAGATGCCACATCAAACGTGAAAACTGACAGACGTCCGGTGCCATCCGCTCCAACACGAGTGATAGAAGGAAATCGGCATCACGTGATGAAGGCGTCATGACGTCACAGATCCGCTAAATTTGTTACGTCATCGTGACGTCGCAACATGTGACGCATGGCACAGCCGCTTGCACAGAGTTTCTTGAAATTAACTGGAGGGGACTCTGACACTGCGATCGTTCAGTGACCATGGGAATGATGGGTGTACACGGATTTTGCATAGTCTTCGTACTTGCGGGTTTAAAACGCACTAGTGGCTTCTTTTACTCTTGTGACTTGGTCTTGTTTCGAATGATAGAACCAACAGTTGTGAACTTGATGAGCAGATTTGAAATGGTGAGCCTAAAAGGTTGAGGTACTGAAAGGCAACTGGTGAATTTTTTTTTACTTTTGGTTTTTTGGTAACGCAGCTTTAGGCCACGCGAAGCCAACTAGAGCCGCAAGTTCAAAGTTAGGACAATCCGTGTACTAGTTATCATTCTCATGCTTGCTGAAGTGCCTTGCGTTGCGGCTACCATAGGCACTTGCGCTATAGTTCTCTTCAGTGGATTCATAGGAACGGTACTCGGCTGCTGACTCGCCGGTCGCGGGATCGAATCCCGGCTCCGACGGCTGCATTTTCAATGGAGGTCAAAGTGTTGTAGGCCCTTGTGCTCAGATTTGGGTGCACGTTATAGAACCGCAGGTTGTCGAAATTTCCGGAGCCCTTCACTACGGCGTGTCGCATATTCATATGGTAGTTTTGGGACGTTAAACCCCACAAATACATCACTCAATATATTAGGAGGAAAATCAGTGGTCACTTGATCCTTTGTAGGCGGATAACTAAGGCAGTGTGAAGCCAGGTTATGTGCAGAAAGCTTGCAATCACACCGATCCAGGAGGCAACGCAAGCTCGCGTCAGGTACGGAAAATTTTTGATGGTTGGCGCAGCAGGATTAATACATCGAATGAAAACAAAGATCACTCTCGCCTTCGGGTGGTCTTAGGAGAATGCACAAGTAACCCTTTGATTGTTTATTTGTGTAGGCTACCGCTCCGGACCTGGTCCCAGTTTTAACGGACAGCATACTCATTATTTGAGAGGTATTTTCTCGTCTTAATGCAGCTCCGAAACACACAGTATTCACGTACCTCTTCTTGGTGAATGTGTTGGTGCCGTAGGCATCCTGGCCTTCTTGTTGCTGCGGCTGCTGCGAATCGTCATCGGACGGCCCAGCCACGGAGCTTCGGAACTTGTCCATCTCGCGCGAGAAGGTCGATGGCGGCGAGGGAAGATCGTCATTCTGTCCCCTCTGCTGCTGCTGCTGTTGCTGCTGTTGCTTTTGCTGGACGAGGTGCTGGCGCTCCGCGGCTCGCTTGGAACTGTCGAGCCATCGGGACGTGCCCGGCGTGATTGGCGCGGGCGGCGGTGGCGGAGGAGGCGCTGGGGCGTCGGGCCGGCGCTGCATCGTAGCAGTAGCTGGGGGAGTCGCCTGTCAAACAGTCGGGAACGCTTTAGCATTGGAGAAAATTAAGCCAGCTTCGCATTAGCGATGCGAACCCCTATAAGATCACAGTTAGCAGCCATCTTCGTTTCTGGCGCATTTGAGCTATATGATGAGCTCGACCAAGTATTTTAATAAATGTGTTAGTAATCGGATATCAATTAGCTGCCCGTTGGGATGGAGCAGTTATGGTGCTCAGCTGCTGATCTGAAGGTGGCGGGTTCGAATCCCACCTCGGCATTTTAATGGAAGCGAAACGCTAGAGTACTCTGCGATGACAGTGTGCGTTAAAGAATATCAGATGGTTCAAATTCTTGGAGCTTCTTTCTACGGCGTCTATACCTTACTGTATTGGGATGTAAAACCCAAGCCGCTATTAATAATAATAATAATAATAATAATAATAATAATAATAATAATAATAATAATAATAATAATAATAATAATAATAATAATAATAATAATAATAATAATAATAATAATAATAATAATAATTGATTGATTGATTTATTAGTTATTTATTGACTATCACATGGTTTCGACTGCTAGACTACGCTTAACTAGTCTCAATCACGTCCACCTCAATTCGTTGACCAGCAAGGCTTAGCGAATTCTGACTTCAACCATCTAGGCTATGCAAAGGCAAGGTGAGGTTTTGCGAACGCCGCACGAACGAGCGGTGAGCCTAAACAGCTCCGGTGCTCAGTGTTGCCGTGTGATAGTCTCTGTTACTTGGAGCGCAACAGTAACCGTGTTTTAGTTACAAGCTTCAACGAAGATGAAATGCGTCATTGGAGCCAACGTTTCGACGGGTGATCTTGTCTTCACCGGGGCAGCGACAGTGGCTGCACTGAAGAAAAAATACTGCTAGTCAAACCCATGGATCGAGTGAAGTCCATTGCTCAGAAATTTTTCATCCCTAAACCTATGTCTGAGCTTTGTCAGTTTTCGACAAAATGAATTTTCACAGTACCAGCTACTGATAGCAAGTAATTTGCTTTCAGTTATTGCAATATCACTAATTTGATGTGAATACTTTACTTACTTTTGGATTCTCGGAGAAGAGATATCATCGTATTTTTATCAGAGCATTACAATACCTTAACATCTGCCTTCGCTCTCCTATGTGCCTCCATAGCATCGGTGGACAACAAAAGCTTTAGAAAATAGCCCGCTGATTTTCTACAGTTTTGTTCCCTTATTGGGCAGAATATATTCGAATAAATGTTCTTTTGAGCTACATAATAATTATGAAACATTTCCTTGTACTTTACGCACGTTCCTTTCATCTGGAAAACGAAAGAGAGACTTTCATTACCCGTGGAAAGAACTTGAAAACGTGCTTTCAATTCCGACGTTAGGAACTGGTAAATGAGGTGACCGGAAGTTTTTGGGGTAACGCTTGTGACCTTGAAACCGTAAGCACATTAATGTTATGCTCCCGCACTTTTTTTGTTCTGTTTTTTTGATAACCATTTGACAAATTACAAAGAAATAACGCCGATACTACTGCGTAGGAAGTAACACTTATAGCTATGATTTACCCGCGTAAGGCAGCAGCACGTTGCAGCTGCAGTGAGCCATTCGTGATTCCCCGTACGTACACTCAACGCACACAACACAAACACGACAAAACTGCGCGTTGTATAATACACCTAACCCGTTAAATTAGACGTCAATATCACCAAGGCAGCGCACCATCCTAAGTGCCAGTACAAATTTAGTCGGCAACATTTACACTGACAAACGTTCAGCCCTCATTCTATGACCAGACTCAAAAACCACTCTGCTTAGAACTATCTTAAAACAAATATGATGAACCTTTTCTCACTTTCGTTCACCAGAAGCCATGAAATATATAATCGAGGTGGGTCATGATTCATTGGAAGTGTATCTCAAAAAATTTGAACTTCTACCTAAATACGCAGTTTACTGGGGGGAGGGGGGGAGGGGGGTGAATATTCTTGCAAACACTGAGCGCACGACTACGCGGACACAAGGAAAGAAGGTGCAAGCCGCAGCGCTGACCGGCAACTGAATATTTTTATTGGAAAACATGAACTAAAAAAAAGTCGCACCTTTTTTGCAAAGGCGTAGCAATGAACGCGATAGCAACAAATTGGAAGGTCACGCGCTGAACTGCAAGCAGCTCGAAACTTGCCCCGCGTTTTTTACGCACAAAGGACGCACGAAACGTACTCACAGGTACAGAATAACGCGAATAAGCGTGTCATTTGTTACTTCACTGTGTCTGAAAAGCGCGCCCTTTTCGCAGACGGATGCTGTGAAACGATTGCAGTGAACTTTGTGCGCCCGGTAACTACAACAGAATCGTTCCGACAAAACTCAAATGCTAGCCAAGACGTACCATTCTCCCTACTGCAAGATAACGCGCGCGATCAAGCGTACACCCCCTTATTCTCTGCGCGGTTCAAAGTACGCGTGAGGGATGAGAGCCGCCGCGCGCTCACTGTGCCATCTTGCTGATAATGCTGAAAACACGATAGCCACCCCCCCCCCCCCCCCTCGAGATGCCCGCCAACAGCGGTAAGTGGTAGATATGAATAGCTTACCGTCTAAACGTTGAAGGAGGTATCTCTCGGTGGCTCAGTGATTAACGCCTCGCATTCACGACGCGGAGGTCCCACGCTCGATTCCGCGTGCTGGAGTCTTATTCCTGATATTTCAATTATTTCCGGCGTTTTCATATATATAAATACGTGTACATATCCGGTGTATGAATTCGACGCCGACACCCACGCTGACGCCAGCGGCGAAATCCAGCTGAGAGTGTCTCCTATAATTGCTATCGCAATTAAAGGAATATTATAACCTTCACACCCTTGTGACCACATTAAATGAAGAAAACGGCAGGTCGGCTGACGTATTTAATGATGAAAAAACTCTCATACACCATCATCCAAAATGCCAGATGATTTGCCGCTTTCTTGCTTTAGAGTGGTCACATGGCTGTGAAAACTTTTCTTTTATTGCGATAGAAATTATATGGACAGTCTTGGCTAGCTTTTGCCGCCATCGTCACCATCGCCACCGTATACACGTATATGTATACGAATATTTATGTATTTATATACGGGGAAGAATGCGGCCACCTTCTCTTCCTTCGGAGAGATCATCGCCTTTCCAGCCGGGGTCGTCTGCCCGCGCGATTATCTCGTGAGCGGATAAGAGGGGAGGTGCTTTTGGTTGCCGCGCTCTCGCAGTAACGATCAGCGCGCAGTTTGTGCCCCGACAGCAGGCGGGATCTTCTACGTGCTGCACTTTCAAGAAGAAAAACAGTGCCAAAAGTGCATCTGGAACGGCAGCGTTCTGTTATATCGTTTTGTACAGTTACGTGAAATCGGATCTAAATGAGTTGACTGCCAGCCTCAGGTCATATAACATTGAAATTGTTCACAGAAACGTAGATGGACACTGTCATCAAACTGCCAGGATGAAAGTGCATGAGCCTCGCAAAACGATAAAACGGCAGAGCTGCTGGAGTCGCCATTTACGCAAGCCTCGATGGGATAACGCTTTTACCGCGCAGCGTTACATACCAACTCAACTCGCGGCCCCAGGTTACTAGTGGTGATGCATGTGCCGTGAAAATATTACACTGCTTCACCGTCGCAGTAGTCTACATCTTGCCGGGAACCTTGCGGAACGACATCATTAAGTTCTTGCTCCACAACTTCAGTATGGCGTGCCAAGAGGATGTGCCAGTGATCACACAGAAGTCTTCAAATTGAATGTACTTCGACTCAAAAATGGGTGTCTTGAGGCGTTTCTCGGTGCTGAACTTGGACTTCACCTCCTGTCTGACGTCACACAGCCAGCTACACGCAACAACACATGTCTAAATGTTGCGTTCGGAGAAAGGGTTGCGTCACGAGTGCACTGCGTGCCATTTCCAACATTCTTCAGAGACCACAAGGTTGTTGCCGCAGTCATCGAGTGAACTGAGTTTCGTTTACATTCACCAGTGTTTCTACCGAATACTATATTTGCTGTCTTAATTTCTTTCGCCATGGAGTCTTGCATTACTATCATTCAGGGCACTCCTGAGTGAGGGCTTCACCACATAAAAATGCGTTCTACACATAACAAACTGCCACCAGTGGTGACGCACGATGTATAACCCTTAGTACCAGCTTGCGCTGCCCACGAGAGGCGCTTACCATCAACGCCGTCCCGACGCATGAGCCTTGTTGGAGTCATCTACTGTGGCCACACCGCAGAAAACTTGGTTACTAAACAAGCGCATGTTTACTACAATTGTTATTGTTTTACAAAGCCTTGCTTGGTGAAATATTCGAATATGTTGCTATCGCATTCATTGCTTCGCCCTTTTGGCGAAACTGTGACTTTCGTTCATGTTCTCCAATAAGACTATTCAGTTGCGAGTCAGCGCTGCGGCTTGTTCCTTCTCTTTTGTCCGCGTAGTCACGCTTAGAGTTCATGGTCACCAGCTAGCCCAGCTGTCAGTCCTTCGACAGGGTGAATAATCTGTGGTTGCAAAAGTCTGTAAGGTGCACAGTGCAAAGCAGCAAATGGGACAATGACAAACAAATCTGGCATTCTGCATTTTTCATCTGTAATACTAATGTTTATAACTGAGGTTTTACGTATGCCAAGTACATGTAAGAAGTGAGTAGGTGAGTGCAGAAAACAGCATAAACTGTATAGTATAAGCTTCCTCATTTATTCACAATCTGGTTAATCATTGGGGTGCAGATCAGGGAGAGACGGATGGTGCAATTCAGGTATTTGACTAGATTAGGGACGATTGGTGGTTTTTTCAATGAGGAGAGCTACGAAGCTAACCTTTTTCTCGCTGGAAGCCGGACTAGATTTCTTGGATCCCTTCTTCTTGGTCTCCGTTGACTCTTCCTTGCTTTGGCTGTTCTTCCAACGGTTGAAAGTGTTGGTATCTGGAAGCGTAGCAAATCGACCTTCACCCGACTTGCTTTCCACTGGCTGCCGATTCTGAAAAGTAGAGAAACATGGTTAAATAAGTGGTAAGCATGCTGCGCCGTATACCAGGAATGGGTGGTTGATTCATTACAAAACATTTATTTAATATTTATTTATTCATTTATTCATTTATTATAGCTACTGAAAACTGCTATCATATCTTAGCAGGGTGTGTATACATAAAAAAGTGCAGTCATTTTAGCACATCCAAGTTAGCAGTCATTTAAGGAATTATTCAAACATTTGTAAAAAGGTATACGAAAAATGCTAGTGAACACATACAAATATACAAACCCAGAGCCATAACATTTTTCAATATTTTTTTAAAGTTTTTAAAATACTTTTGGGTAACGATTTGATCATAAGATTTGCCAGTCTGTTACTGTCCTGTGAAAAAGGAAACAATATTTAGAACACTTATTTCTTGCCTTCAAGGGAAGTATGGTGCGGGGATGTCTTCGTCTTGCCTAATAATCGGATGAGTAAGTAAAATAATTTTGAAATGTTAACTTTATAATGACTCTTTACGAGCTTAAAAAGATACATGTGCATGGTTGCACAGTCACCACCTGGGGCAATTTGCTGCTTCTGACTAGCTCACTGATGGATGTACGGCCGTATAAGCACTGAAAGTGAAGATGACCATTTCATGCTGTATGTTCAAGATTTTTATTATTAGAAGCAGAAGCACTGTACTCTACTATAGGAGAGCAAAAAGCTATATTTAGATTCACTTTTAGTTGGTCTTACATACGCACGTGTTGGCTTTAAGGCTAACGCTACCCGACTAACAAGAGCTGTAACGTAAGCTTGTTACTGTAAAATCTTAACTTAAATTAGCAATTTTGTCCTGGTTGGATGTTGCTTTGATGACGTCTGCTGGGCGCGCACGTTCGGGTCAGCTGACGGCAGTGCTTCACTGCCCTCGCATTCGCAGCGTGGATCAGAGCACATTTTCTTGTGCTGATAACAATAGGTAAGAAATTTAGAATATCATAGCTCTACTGTATAGCATCCTAGAATTAACAAGAGGCGACTGTTGCGCTGCGACCGTTCAGCGACAATGTGAATGGTGGGTAGTACATGGATTTGCCCAGACTTCGGGCTTGCTGGCTTCGAGTGCACTTGTGACTTTGTTTATTGTTACGTTTTGGGTTTGTTTCAAATGAAATAACGGACCGCTTCAACTTCGTGACCCAATTCTAATTAGTGAGTCTGAAAGGCTAAAGTGGGGAAGCGTAACAGCTGAACGTTTATTGATTTTTGTCTTGTATCAAAGCATCTTCCGGCCTCGCGAAGCCAAGTGGAGCTGTGAGTACGAAGACTAGGGACATCCATGTACTACCCGCCATTTCAATGCTCACTGAATCAGCATTCTTTTCAGCTTCCATAGACACTTGGCCACAGTTCCCTCTTGTATATTCACTGTAAACTCCATGCCGTATAGGAGAGAGGTGTATGCAGCTAGTTCCGCTTTTGCGTTTGTCGAGAGAGTGTCCAATTGAGTGCAACGCGTACAATTCTATTGCAGAAAAGTTCCTTCAAAAAGACAGGAAAGAAGAGATAAGAAACGAGCTTAAGTCTAGAGCATGAGACCTGAATACATCTTGGAAATAATGCATCTCTTCAACGGTGGAGATGCATGCAGGTATCCCCAATACACTACGATGCTTGCTTGGGGTGATGTGACCAGAAAAAAAAACAGCGCCGCTTGCACCTTGTTTCGCAAGGTTGGTTCCAAACAAAGGTGGTAAGGGTTTGCCTAGGATTCTACTCTCTTAGCTGTCTCTTTTCCACCCCTTGCTGTACTAAACTTTACATACTCGGCTACGCTTTCTCTCTTTTCCTGCTTTGTCGTCGTTCATTTATTTATTGCTATAGACGATGTGAAGTGGTAGCAAGCGTTGCACTCGAAAAAATTTCGGGGGCCTTATTTAGCAGCCCGTAACAGCAAAAATGAAATCGTGTTTTCAAGTTTATTCAGGGTGAGGTATGTCTCTCTTCAGTTTTTTCGTTAGAAAGAAGGTGTATGTAGTTCAAGGAAATCTGTTATAATCTTGTGTTGCATTGAAAAGCTAATGAGAATAAACACTTCAATAACAATGAGGTGCCAGTCACGTTTATTGTCAGGATCGTTACATATAAGTTATCAATAAGTTTTTCTTTCAGTTAAACGCATCCTTCAAAAAATGATGGCTTCTGCACCAGTTTAGCCCACGCATTTTCTAAAACCTAAAGTACAAGAAAATTCTAAATTGCGCTACATGGCGACATGTTGACGAAAAGCAACACACATAATTAAAAAAAATGTTTGTAAGACTTTTTGTTTGGAGGAGGGAGGGTTGTTTTGGGATATCTGACGTCGCCACGCCATGGCGCATGATACCAGAAGAAGAGACACATTAGGAAGCATTCCTGTCAGTACTTCCCACTGCATTATGCATAATTGTGGCAGCGTCCTCGTCGCGAAGTAACCAATCTTGTTTTATCGTGGCCGCAAGGCATTCTCTCTTGTTTGCAAAATTTTCTGCAGACTTGGCCGGAACATGAGCACGTCTATACGCGTAGGCGTAAGTGCGGTTGCAAAATCAGAGTTGTAGCACATTTTTTAAATCTTCCTTCTGTGCTTTTATGCTTTACACGCTCAAAAGGGCGAGTCAGAGAACCTGCAGACAAAAGCCCTTTCTGCGCAGTCCACTAGCCGACTCTGCTGGTATAGTAATAGCTGATACTCACATTACCCGTCGAACCATCCAGAACGTACAGCAGCTTGCTCTGCATGTTCCCCATGTCAACCTGGTCTCGGCCGACTGTATCGATGGCTCCGGAACTCAGTGGTCTTCCCTGAAATTCACAAATTTAGGTATTTGTAAGGGAAAGGAAAGTACTCATTGATCGCGCTACCGGTATTTTTGTACTTTTGAAAACTTCGTGTACGTAAACAAGTAGGTAATCGTATAATAAAGGTTTGATTTGGGCTGTTTGGACCATAGCTATAGACGGAACAGTATGACTAAGAATATGGATGAAGACTGGGCGCCCGTGTTTGGTGTATTTTTGTCCATTGTCTCAGTGGCGCTATGCTTTTTGTAACCGTACAAGTTCGTTATTAATTGTCCTAAGTACAACGAGGACAAAATCTCTGACGTGCGAAATTGAATCGGCGTGCTACAGTAACTATTTCGGAGGTAGATGCACAGCGCCATAGGGAGTGGGTTTAGTTGGGTGCTGCACAGGCATTATTCAGTTTCTTTCTAAGACAGAATTGACAAATATTCACTTTGTTCAAATCTTATGTCCCGGAGTGAAAATGTAAACGTAAACATTTACCTCATAGTGAAAATAAACGAAGTCCACTAATGAATGTCACTCAGAAACAATTAAACAATAAAGTAAGCGTGGAGACATAGTGAACACTACAACCTGAAGCTGCGACAATATGCAGGTACAATACAAAGATGTCAATCATGACGGCGTGTTCCGTAGCAGGATGTTAGGTGGCGTAGAGTTTCTTTTGATTTGTACGGGTTTCATGCACCTGCTCTGGCGTCTGCCTTTTAATATATATAAATATAAAAGGCTTCCAAAGCATATTTTATACACTACAGGAAAGTAATTGAGTGCTACAATCCTCATGGCGATTCACACTGCAAAAAAGAATAAGAAAGTAATTCGTTTGTGATTTCCTGAGGGCACTTAGTTTACACATGATGATTATTTTGCTATTAAAAGGCACTCAGGGAGAAGCCGTTATTCCTTCTAAACATTATTCAAACCAGTTCTCGGTGAAAAATGTTATCTGGGTTAAGAAAAAAAAATCCTGTTATTCAGAAAAGGTACACAATTATTCTGTTATGTAAATGGGAAGGAAAGGGTTAACTCACAGTTCACCAGCTTGCATGATTTGTTTGTGAGAGATGGTTGCAAGAGGAGGGTCCGGACACCAGGTCCACGTAGAGGGTTAGGAGCCGGAGACCACCCAAAGTTTGGGGTTCATGGAGCACACTGGTCACTTAAAAGACTTCGCACGCTGGTAGTTCACAGGCATGGCCAAAATAAATTGCAAATGCGGCTTTCTGGTAGGCTGTTGAGCTTGCTAATTGCAGGTTATTGGTATTTCATATGGCACAACATTGAAAAGCATTCAAAATGGATAGATCTACAATGTATTAGTTGCAATGGGTGTCGTTCTTGGTTCGTAACGAAAGCATGATTAGAACAGAATATATTCGAACACAGTACTTAAGACATCAGTTATGCATAGACTCGTAGTTTTTGTTTTAGTTTTTTTACACGAAATAATTACACATCTTGAAAAAAGCCGATTAATATTTTGTGTCGGATATAGTTTCGGCACTCAAGGCTTCGTCGGACCATATCTCGGTCCCAGTTGTGAGCCACGTATTCATATTGGTCATTAATAAAACTGATCAGTACCCATTAGAGCATCAAGCCTCATCCTACCAACTAAACAGCCGCCCTTAAGAAAATAAAAATGCGACCAGCAGCCATGTTCACACTTCCGTTGGCCCACCCAAGTAAGCATCCGAAAAAAAAAAGACGGAGTTGTCAGTTCAATGCCTTAAGTGACAGGCAGTTTATCGCACAGCAGGGCTTGAACTTCAATGGCAACTTCGTATCGGATCCTTTGCAACGAAGCAGAATATTCAATGTACGCTACTGTGGTTCAGGCACTTTATATAACGTAACTGGTATGTAGGTAACACAGCTTGCAAATTATGAGCTAGTGCCAGAACCTGTTTATGCTTAAACAAGATTATCACTATGCGAAAAGCACGATCCCACTTTAGACGAAGAAATGACAACTCTCCAGTCCACCACTATCGTTACCACCATAAGAAAAAAAATTAGTGAAAAAAAAACTCAAGTTAACCCAACCCTTGCAAACTCCCTACATGCACGAAGAAGCAATCACCACCATTGACACCAGAGAAGGAAGGATTAGGCATTATCTTTTTTTTATTTTCACAACAATAATATAAACATTGCAGAAAAACAAACACAAACTGTTAATAGACATCTATACAAGCATATCGATTCACTCTTCGTAACTTGCCTTCATCGTATGTTGATTATCACTGGGAACAATTGATTGTGCCGTAAAAGCACTGCTTCGTGGAAGCTAGGTAGCAAGCGCCTTTGTCATATCATAAAATCAGTTAACGGTTCCCAAACTATCTTGCTATCACTGAAAGAAAACGTTTTGCTTGTTCACAAAACAACGAGTTTTGTGCTCAATAATACGTGCAGCTATGGCATGCTTATCGTTGCTCTGAAATAGACAGGATGATGATTCTTTTCTTTCCTTTCGGAAGTGATGAAAGGAAGTAAGAAGAGACTGGACAGAAGAAGAGGGCTAAAAGAAAACTAGAAGAGATGAAAAGGCAACTCTGAGGTACAATGGCACTTATCATCAATCGTTTTCAATCACTCAAAAAAAAAAGCGTGCAGTGTCAGTCACACCTACTTAGAACACTGATATTTAGAGAAATAATGGCTATCTCTAATTTAGGTTTAACCGACGTAACCAAAGTGGCTGATATTGAAATCGGGGCGTCCTTATACAACCGTACACAAAATTATAGAACATGGCTTTAAGAGCACGAAATGAAACGGGCACAACAACGTACGCAGAAAGTAAACAGTGGCCTTGCTATGTCGAACCAATTTCACGTTGTAAACACCACTTTCCATAATGCCTTTAATCAACTAGGTTATTACGGTCTCTTGAATCTACACACATAGCTTACCAAGTACAAATCAATAATTAAATAATAATATTGATAATATTAAAGAAGAAGACCCGTGCTCTGAGGTAGGTGTGCCTAACCCAGTACGCACAGATACTCGTAAAGAATAGCATTATTTGGAAGCACAAACAAACAAGGGTGCCTGCAGTGATGAAATTCTCAACAACAAACAAACCAGCTGTCGTTCGGTGATTCGTGCCTCGCTGCAGTCAATTGGTCTGTCGGCGCTCTTCGCACTTGGTCAGTCTCTTTCTCGCTCTACATTTTGTATGCGTGTATTTGTTCACAATAAGTGTCCAGGATCGCGACAGACGCACAGAAAAGACACACAGCACACGCGCCCTTCGGCGACGACGCAGAGTTCTTTTTCTCTCTCTTTCTCTCCTTCTCGGTCGACCTTACACGTCGACACCAGGAAGGTCGATGTCACATGCAGTACGATGTGCAGGGCGGGGAATCCAGAAGGGGGAGGAGAAAAGGGACACCCCTTGACGCCATCCTGATTTCAGGGTGCCTGAAATCGTCCCAGCCCCGGAGTCGGGGGGAAGGCCCTGGCCTGAAACCTGTACCGCCGCACACAGCCTGAGCATTGGGAAAATAATACCTCCCCTACACGAGGAAACGGGGGCCCCTGCAAAAGTCCTCGCTTTTTTTGCATGTGGCATTCAGGGTCGGGCGAGGGGGGCGACAAAGTCACGTGGCATTCCGCACAATGTGGGGGAGGGTAAGGAAGGTAAGGCGGCTGTACAAGTTGCGACCCAGGGTTTTTTTTTTTTAGTCTATGCGCTTGTAAAATAAGGTTAGGCTGCTGTGATTGCGCTGGTTAGGACGCTCGTCACCACATGACCATGGGACCTTTGGCCGAGTTGTGGTTTACCTGTTTGGGAGGACTATGTCTAGCTCGCGGAATGACGACGTGCGGCACGCTGAAGCCGGTCGAGAGGCTGCGGTTTAGGCTCATGTCACTCTTGCGGCTGGACTTCTTTGATTGCATGGTGTGGTCCTAGATGATTTTGGGGGAGGGGGACGAGAAAGATGGGGAGAGAAAACGGCAGAAGCGAAACGGTGAGAGCATAGTAAGCACGGTTACGGCGATTTCATGAACGATTAGGCAAGCGGTCACGGAGGCGCTTTCTTGCACACAGACCAGTGATGGCAAAACACGGAAACAAGGCAGAATAAGGTGCCGCCGTCTACAGTCCTTACCTGAAAGTATAGTTAATGAGTTTGTTGTAACTTCTCTAAAGAAACCTTCAACGAGGCGATTGGCCAGCTCATTTATCTCAAACCTACAACAGCTAGCATCTACTGAAGAAAGAAGTCGAGGATACTTGCTCTAAATACAATTTTTTTCAAATATGAGTGCCAATCACGATCCCTGTAGGTAAACTGTCACCACCCCTCTCTGATTAAAAAAAAAACGTACGATCACAGTTTTTGCGTAGAGCAGTTTTTAAAAGCCCGCCATCATGAGCCTATTCAGCTTCTCCGTGACTGGTTACCTCAGCCAAAGCAACGGATTGTGACAAAGAATAGTAGGCGACAGCATATATGAACACAAGTTTCTTATTATGGCTAGGCATGCAATAGGAACTTAAGACGCAATCGCTAATTGCATCCACGTTACGCGCGTATACATTGCAGTCATTGCTAGGCTTATCGAATATTCTGAATAGAACAAGCACTGAAATTGCATATTATGCGGGATATAAAGCTGGAAGCATGGCTGAATGTGGTAATAAGTTAAAAGCTCTCTGCAGCATCGGGAAAGGACTGCACGCAAAAAAATAAAATGTGACAGGAAACGCAAGGGTTGCGAATTTCCAGAAGTCTCTCCTCAGGAACATTTTGAAAGTCTTTTTTTTCATTAGCTACCGTTTAAGTTGATCGTTCTGTCCAAAAGACAGAGTTAGTGTGCGCTTTGTACTTGTGCTTAGATGCGAGCCCTCTTCTTCTCAACACAAGCTGTCAGATTACTAATACACCGCACACATAATCATTCGTTGTCATGATAGGAAACGTTTTTAATTTCCATTAATATTGTACACCGAAAAAGCGGGTAGTTTAAATAAGGTTTTTTGCCTTCAGTGATATTCCTAGTCCCCTTTATGTAAGTACCAACAAATTATGTGGGCACAGTGAAAAATGTCCTCCTTAATTTTACGCGACTGTTCTGGCACAATTCCCGTGTTATAAGAGCTTATTTGAGCGAATTATCCAATACATTTCCACACACGGATCTGATAAGATATACACCACAAGGACGACGGCATGTGCTTTCGTGCTTGCGTTCCAGCTCTTCCATAATGACATTGGATGTACGGGCCCTCAAATGACAATCGCATCCCCACGTCGTAACGACCAGCGGAGTGTCTTCCACTCGTAAATACTACAGGTGCAGCATAATTCGACCCGCTTTGTAGGCTTGGCACGGCAATTAGCCGAGGCAAAATAAACAAGACATTTTGACACACAAGCTGAACAATCGTCACACAGCGTGCGAAAACCTAATTAGCGCGCCGACGATGTGGCGACGGCGCGTAGGCGACTGGGTAACGTACGGGTCCTGGTCCAACCATGAAGCCGTCGAAGGCGTAGGAGTGCTTGAGCGCGTGTTCTCCGCTGCTCTCGCTCGACGTGTCGGTGATCATGGCCTTCTTGTCGAGAGTGCCCCCAAGCGGGCTGACGGCGCCCAGCCGGAAGGGCCCCTTGGCGCGCTGCGCCCGGCGCTTCCATCGGCGGCACAGGCACACCAGGCAGCACAGCATCATCACCAGCAGCGCCAGCGCGATCGGTAGGGCTATCGCCAGCACTGCGTTACGAACAGGGAGGAATATTGAGAGAGACCCGGCGTTTGGCGAAATAACCAATAATGAGAAATGCGATCGGATATAGACAGACAGGAGGAGACTTATTTCCCTGTATAATATTAGAGGCTGTGACTCGTGATTGAATAAAACATTGACTTCCTGTGGCTAGAGCGAGGCACCTACTTGGTGATCTTTAAAGACAAGTTTCAAGTCACAAAATAATAAAAAGACAAGAAGTAACTGTCTTAACTAAAACCATAGTAGCGGGATATTCTTCACAAAAGCGCGCAAAGACCCGCTGCCGGCGCTTTCATAGCTTTGCTTACAGTATTACTTTATAATGCATCTTGCTTTGCAAAAATATGGAAAAGTAGCTTTGAATAAGTTTCGGCGAAGCAATAAATAGGCAACATTCGGACAGGTCTTGACGTTATTGTGCTAGGTGTACTAATGAAACTGCCATGGGCTAAAACGACTTCATTACAGGATTCAGACTAGAGCTTTTTTTTTCTCGTTTATTCTGATGCACTTGTTGTAGATGAACCGCTGCGGTTGGTCCGAATTAATTGAGCAGGCATGGATCATTTTGTTTGTCTTTTTGTTTTTAAGCTCCTACATTTTCCCTTTCAGCATCACGACCCGCTATTTCCTGTCGCCTCGCGGTATCATAGCATAGTATATGGGCAAGCTATCTACTTCTCTTTCGTTTCGTGCGAACCGCAAGATCACAACAGACCATTGGCTGAGCCAGAAATAGCGAAACGCGATGATGACGTCAGACTGAGCCATAGCCTTACAGCAACACGCATGCCACCGAATTTCAGAATCACGTAGAGTAGCCTGAATAGCCTTTGTCGCTCCACCACGATCACACAAGATTACAACCACGGCATTGTTTTCACGCGACAGCAATGGTTAGTAACCACGAACCAGCTGTCGAAAGCTTCACTAAGTGGCGTCAACACTGGTAGAGAGTTAAGTTTGTCGTTACAGGAAGCGTCTCGAACGAGCGTAACGTCTGCTTTAGTTCTCTACCAGGAAACAGCGCCCAACACGGTTTGATAGAGCGAAATAGAACTAACTTGCGACTACAGCTCGGGCAAGTCTCCGAACTAGGCTCGTCGTTGTTAAACCAGATTGAAGAACTCACTAGACGCGTGCGAAACCAGCGTTCCGTATCAGACTAACGTCACGCAACGCTGTTACGTGATGCTTAAGTGTTCTTCCGGTGTTTGTTCCCGAATCACCAAAAAAGAATGATGATTAGCGAAATATTTCTCCCAGGTTTCTTTTTCTGGTTTTTTTAAACTACCTCTAATCAAACAAACAAACAAACACAGAAAACTTAGAAAGAAACTTCACGAACTGCATTGCGTACTTGTGAGTAATTAAAAAACCCTGCGTTACGCGAATTCCATGCCTAGAGGAAACATCACGCGGTCAGACTTGCGCAATAGGTTTTGAAATCGCGCAAACTACGCACGCATATGAACACACGCAGGCAAACTGAGCGCCGCGCCTTCCGGTGTTAATCATTAAGACGACTCCGCGCACAGATTCGCTCGAGCCGGTGCGGCTGGTTGCATTAGCGTGCTACTAAACGCACGGGAGCATGCACCGGAGTGCGGCTAAATATAGCGCTAAGCGAAGCCCGTTTAGGAGTCAATAGCGGACGGCTGCCTTAAACGGGGCCACTTTCTTTGCGCAAGTGCCACTTATAGAACGGCCGTGCGAGCTTCGGTAATCGCCGCGGCGGAGAACAATGACACTTGGTCGTCGCGGGCTGCCACCTTTTCCTTTTGTCGGACCCGCCAGTAGAGTGAAAGGCCTCGGCCAGAGACACTTAGACGCAGCTTTCACGCGTATTTACCGGTGGTCTTTCGCTATTGGCGTTCGGTTTTTGCCTTCGTTAATTTATTTGTGTACGCTTTTCATTTTTTTCTAATCTCTTCCTCAAAACCACGGTCTCTATCTATCTTCCAATTTAACCCCAACTGCCAACGAGCACCGATTGAGCTAGACTTGTGGCCATGCAATGTAAGTACTCCCTGTCACTGAACAGTGTTGCCCCATTCCCAATTCTCAGCTCTAATTATTTTTCGAATACGGATGAAGTGTTACACAAGAAAAACGACCAATTTTTTTTCGGCAATGACGTATAGGTATGTTAAAGCGATTAAGCTAGTGGAGGCTTCTTGCGAATGATTTCCGCCTGACAGTCACCTAAGACAGTGTACTTCCAGGGCGCATAGGCTGGAAGAAATAATAAGTTTTAAAGCTTACTAAGCGTAGAAAAATGAGCTCGTCTGGTATGAATTTCATTATGCTACGTATTCAAGTGCACTGATACCGAATACACACGGGTGATTCAGAGAAAGCCATCAAGAAAGCCTTACTGCAACTTATACAGACTTATACAGTGGGAGAGAAGTTCTAGTCCGCCCTTCTTCTTGCCTTTCTCTGCCCCTTCTCAGTATACTTGTGCAATAAAAAATATCTTATTACTTAAAAGTTACGCTGGTACCAGCGTTTCATGTATCACTTCGCACATAATCGCCGTGCCATGTACCTTTTGACCATGAATATGTAGTAACATAACCCTTTTTAACGAATTTATCACGCTGCTTTCCTTTGCAATGTTTTAAAAACTGAGAAATGTAAAGCAAGTAAGTATTAGAGCAATAAAAATATGTAACGTCGAAACTTCATTTATTGCAGGGCCTTAATTCTTGCTCGTTTAGTATTTTGAGATAAACGTAAACCTGCGTCCAAGTGAGATGCAAACTATTGCCCAGCTGAGCGCCCCTCGAATCCTCTTTTGTATACGAAAAAAAAAACTAGCATCCTGGCAGCACCGGCCATGTCCCACGATGGTGACGAATATGTTATTTTAAGATTGCTCATTCAATCAGTACACAATGGCCACTTCCATCTTCTGTTTACGTGCTAGCCGTAGATCCAGTGGCCCTGAGAGGTTGTCAATCGATAAGGATACTGTTTCAGCCAGCGATAAGACACAATGTTGTTAAGGGTCACAATGATGTTAAGGGTCGTTGAATTTCAGTACACTGATACATATGAGCTTGACCCAAAAATTAACACAGAGTTTCTGCGGGCAACAAAACTTGCATCAATTTAAAAAATTTTTGCAAAATAAACAACTGAACAAGAAACATGGGCAGGGTTGTAACAGCGCACTGTTGTTAGGCGCTCGATAACAACATACATGAGTATAACACATAGGCTTCTCTACTAGGAGAAGAACGTCTTTTCGTAGACTACAGCATTAACGTCATTTTGTGTCACATAACCACGCATGATAATGCAGCAACAAATCATTCTGTGTAACCTGTGAGCACATCATCTCCTTTGCGTACCAGGAATGGTTCTTAGCGACAATATGGCTCAACATGGGCAATGATGTCTCGAGTGACTGTTTCAGTGAAGATGCTCCTATACGGACGTGACAAATTTGAAAGCTTATGCTGTCTGAGCAACATGTGATTAGGTGGAAGCTCGGCTGAAATTCAGTGCAGATTATTGACATAGAGGAAACAGTCGACAAAGGCCACTTTCAGTGAAATCTCTGTACGCCTCTTGAAAGAAGAAGTAGTTCAACAGAGCAAAGACGGGTTTACTACAACTATATCAATTACAATATCAATTGCGAAGACTGCGGCAATGACGCCGCCAACAGTAAAAACTGAACGACGGCAATACCATGGTGAAGGTATTGCCGTCGGTGAAGGTAATGAAGGTGGCGACAACGTAAGGGCAGCGACATTTCTACAATAATAACGGAGACTAAGAGGGCAGCAATTACAGGAAGGGACCAACTACGATGCTCGCAACAATATACGAGCCCGCTAGGTAATGCCATGCACAAAAATGACAAAATGTCAACTTCAAAGACGGTATTTATGCGAAGTCTACACAGTCAAGCTTCGGCACTTGCTCAGTGTTTTTCATTGCTGTTACAGAACAAATGTGAATAGTCGTTCCAGTACGGCTGCTCGCAACTGTCAGTCTAGACAGTGACAAGAGACATTGGCTGCCTTTCTATGACTAGTAACATCTCGCAAGAAGCTCCATAATATGGGTTGCCGTATTATCTCTGTACACAAAACGGAAGGTCAGGAAGAAACTATGCTTCGTCTGCCCTTAGCCCAAGAGAACGCCAGGGCTTTTTGGGAGGAAGCACTTGGGTCTTCATGGTGGAAATGTTAGTTGAGACTGTGCCACCTATCGATCGAGCGTAAACTGGCGAAGAGCCACTGAATATGTCTCTCTCTGTCATTAATTTTTTATCCCTACAAATTCGAAGACTTACACAAAGAGGTAACTTCAACTGAATTTCTTTAGTGCACATGTCAAGAACGCGAAAAGCTAAAGCTTGTCTGGACACATGCCAGTTTTTCGGCGTGCGGGTACTAAAAGCAGTGTTACAGACTCTTCGACTTGCCAACTCATGCACCGATGTCGCGGAACACATGAAGTCTAATAGGCAGTGCTTTTTTTTTGTTCCTGTGCAGAACAATAAGGTCAAGTTAGACCCTCACGCTGTATCAGACAAAAATGAGAATTGTGAGTCTACACGAACTTGATCAATAATTCACAAAATCCGTTCTTAGACAGCCAACAAATTATCAGTTTCGCATTATTATGCAATACTGCCCTAAAGTTTCCATTTTGTTTGAGCAATAACGCCAGAATTCTACGGGCTTATCGTAGGGTACCTAAAATTTTATATCTCTATCCTTCCAGTACAATCCGTTCATTAATAAGTGGAACTGTGGCTAACGTAAGGGTCCACAACTTATCCGAGCCAAGAGTACAGATGTGAAAAACAGGTCAAATCAGAGGAAAGTTTTCTTTTGGCTAGCTCATTAGCCATTGCATTTAGCGTGGCCTACGTGATTGACTCCAGCAACGGAACGTTGCCGGAGCTAATCGCAGAGGCTGCGTTTTTAACGTGGAAGGGTTACGACACTGCTGGCATTGGAGCACTTTATGGGATATCTTTCACGGCAACAACGACGCGTGTTCTGCGCGCAAAGTTTGCTTACCCAGACCGTTGATCTCGCAGCGTCGTCCAAGGAACATGCGGTTGCACCTGCAAAATAGCAAGAGGCAAAATCATAAACAAACAAAAGACTGCACGTTCACGTCAGTAATAGCGATTGTGCGATAGTACCTAAACATTCATCGGCATGCACAGGTGATTTTCATGCGTTTGAACACTGCATGCTTCATGGGTGTGCTGTGGAGCGGGAACTAAATTTGGAACGCACACAACACTCATGAGCTGTTAGCGACATCAGCACCATGCTGGCGTCATACGCCATGTTACATCGAACGTGGATAGCCATTTTCGCATGTTTAGAAAAATTAAAGAGGGTTCGAGAGTGCGTTAAGCCGTCCCAAATAAAATACAAGCTATCACGCGTGCGTGAGCCAATGTAACGCCTGTTAAAGCAGCCACTCACCGGCAGCTCCTCTTTCCTTCGTCATTCACCAGGCATGTTCCGCGGCCGTTGCAGTGGTCGCAGTTCTTGATCTCTCCTATGTGAAAGCACAGATACAACTTGAGACAAACAGTAGCGAAACGAGCATGCGAAGAGCAACACGCTGCTCATGGCAATTTTTTTACTTTTGAACAAGACACCGGAATATGTATTATACGTGCATTTCGTTATTATATAGTGGTGAGCTACTTCATGACCCATGATACTGATGAAGCCGTGCACGAACCACCCATTCACACACACGCATGCATGCATAAGGAACACGCTAACAGAAGCGCCTGTGTTTGAGTCTTCTTTAGATATGTGTGATTGTATCTTGCGTGTTGCTTCATTTTCATTGTGTACTTACATTTTACTCTGGCCCGTGAGACAAATACAGAGATAACCTTGGCACAGTCAGCAAGCCTTTCTTATAGACTCGCAATTGTGTAATAAGCTAGACGGCATCTCACAGCCACTATTTCCCTCGTTTCGCCCACACACTTGTAATTTTCACGCGTTTCCTCGTAGACACGGGAAACTCAAGCTGAAACACCGTTTAGACGAGAGTAAAATGAATGACAGCAGTAAACAGCACTAAGTGAGGTTCCACAGGGCCCGTCTAGGAGCTCGGCTCTCGTTAGCTCGCTTGTTCATACTTATTCCTACAGCGCAATGACGCGTGAAGACACACTGACCTGAGCAAACACGGCCCGGTCGCAGCGGGTCGAGGTCTTCGAAGCCACTCTTGCAGAAGCAAGTGTACGTTCCCGGCAAGTTGACACAGACAGCGAACCGGCCGCAGTCGTTTGCGTCCAAGTCGCCGCATTCGTCGTAATCTGCGAAGCGAAAAAAAAAAAACGAGATAGGAATAAAATGTAAGCGAAGCATAACGGATATCTAGAATGATTTTCTCGTTCGCAGACTATCTATATATGTTTCTTACTCCTCATTATATTTATGCGATATCAGAAGTTTGTGTCCAAAAATATTCATTGTGATGCAAAATAAACACACTAAAGTGACCCTGTCAAGAAAACTGATGCAGCGTGAGGCTCACATAAAATAATCTTCTATCCAGACATATATGCAAGTATACGAGTACATACCATATCTGTATGTGGTCGCTAGATGTCGTTGCGTATCATATGCGTTATATCAGAATTTTCGATAGTGGGAACCTCTACCTAGCTAAGAATCATGTGATTTTTCTACCCTTCGTTCATATGATTTGTCAGCTGTTCTCCGTCGTCTTTCTCACTTCATTTTTCCAGCCTTTGAGACTTCGTTCTCTCGTGTGAAACGTCTGAGACGCCCTCTATAGGTTCCAGAGTCCACCAGTGAATGGTGAACGTACTGGCAGTTACACTGAAGAGCTATAATCGCAGAACGGTACTACCATGTCGGGTGAAAACACAACAGACTACGTTACCCATCAGAGCCATTCATTATAATACGGTTTTACCTGCCAACTCAAATAGCCGTCTTAAAGCACCCAAACAACTCGATTACGCGCGCTATGCACGTAACTTTAGACCTATCTACATTCAACCTAGTCTGTTAGGAATAATTCAATGAAGTCTACAGCATGCCCTTTCTCCTTTCAGCAGCCGCGCTTGCAAACAACGGAGCTTTCATTGCAGCCATTTCCTGCATTTGAAAGACTATGGCGAGTACTGTCACAAGCATTGAGGAAGAAGATTTACAAAAATATACAAGACCACTAATAGTTGGCGGGTTCATGTGGTGCTTCAAAAATGGTAAGCTGACATGATTAGTAGCAACGCGTCTTTACGGGAAACTATCACAGTTTGTGTAAAGGAACAACTGAACTTATGTAATCAATTTCTAACTAGCATGTCGTGTAATTATCTATCACTCTATTTTAATTATTTATGCAATCTTTCCTCTTCGTACTGTGAGTGTAGTTTGGTAGACTAGGCAGCACACCTAACCAATACACTTTCTGTCTCCTGCGTCCGCAGTTTCTTACGACGAAACGAGCGTTTAGGTAGCCTTAAGCGTCGTTCACTGTGGCATTGTCATACTCTTACCTTGAACGGCGGCGACCGCGTGAACGTTGGGGCTGACAAATAGTGGGCTCTTTCCGATGCTGTAGTTGGACTGTCGCAGCGATCGGGTCAGTTGTTCCCGTATCACCTCGGAGGTGATGGCCTCCGACCTCGACATGGACACTGTGAAGTTTAGCAGGATGCCTTGCGGAGTGCTGTCGGCCGTGTCCAAGTCATCGGCCGCCGAGATGCTGTTCAAGTTCGACGTCACAAAGTGGCTCTCCACATCCGTCTTCTTGTAGGCGTCGCTCATCTGCGGTCGCAATCGAAGAGGTCAGGAATTATCTTTTATGCGCAAGCTACGTAGTCATGTATCTCATCGAATCAGAGAGAACTTGGCAGCCAGAGGAATACTTGACATGAATGTCGTTGTCGCAAAGAGGACGCCGTTAGAGGGAACATTTAGATTGAAGGACTTGTCTTCGTGAACCCTGATGGCCTCCTTGGGCGTTTGTTCAACTACTTGTTCTTCCATCTCGTGAGAAATGCAGCGTCGTTAGAGTGGGACAAGCATACAACGAGCATACTGACCCGTGGCATACAATAGGCATGGAAGTTACATGTCGTAGTTCTTGAATGCCCTCACTCTAAATGATGTTGCAGTTATTGTTATTATTCATCGCGCTACAATGCAAGTATCTCGGCAACCCAAGCTTTCTAGGGCTTTCTGTTGTGGAAAAGCAACGGGAACGAACAAAGTTGTATATACAGCGCCAAATATTTCGTGATCCAATTTAAACGACCGGCTTCTGCTGGACTCTATGCTATATGAGAAAGACGCGCACGAAATATTCACTCAAGGTAATGACACCCACATTGATATCACTGACAAAAATGAATATCCAAAGCTCTTTGGCAGTAAAATGTAGAAATGAGGCTGCTTAAAATTTCCGAAAGGAATATTACGCGAATATTGTATATTACAAGAAATGGAATTCCTCTGTCATTATAAAAGACACTGATTTTGTTTTTTGTAACTTCTTACGAGACGATTTGATGGCTCATTACGAAGAGCGGTAGAATACTCCAATTTGGGGCCGTTTACAACACGTAGAAAGAACGGCTCATCAAGGAATTTCATACAGGGCAACATGTTATAAAACGCCACATGAAGAAGTGCTTGAAATATCCTGTTATTTTCTAATTGAACTGCTTGTGACATATGCTCTTCGCAGTTAAAGGGCTCAGAAGAAACAAATACCTGAACAATAACCCATCTTGTTTAGATAATGATGATTGATTTGATTTGTGGGGTTTAACGTCCCAAAACTATGATGTGATTATGAGAGACGCCGTAATGAAGAGCTCCGGAAATTTCGACCACCTGGGGTTCTTTGACGTGCACCCAAATATGAGCACACGGGCCTACAACATTTCCGCCTCCATGGAAAATGCAGCCGCCGCTGCCAGGATTCGATCCCGCGACCTGCGGGTCAGCAGCCGAGTACCTTAGCCACTAGACCACCGTGGCGGGGCATCTTGTTTAAACAGAATCGATTAACAATCATTGTTTGAGTTCAACGTCCCGATACCGCCGTATGATTAGGAAAGACGCCGAAGTTGAGGACTCCGGAAATTTCGACCACTTGGGGTTCTTCAACATGCAACTAAATCTAAGCACATGGGCGGCAAGCATTTTCGGTTTCATCGAAATTGCGGCTGCCATGGTCAGCATTCGATTCCGCAACCTGCGGGTCAGCAGCCGAGTGCCTTAGTCAATAAACCACCGTGGCGGGTCCATAAGCTGAATATATAAGGAGATGTTTAGCGGTAGCTTCGGAATGCCGTCCTGACTTTTGCGAAAAATGCTGAGTAATTTTCACAACCACGTTTCTCGTTGAATATGTAATTCAGTTGGAAAATGCTTAGATGCTGATATGCGTAAGCATGAGCACCTCATTGCACTAATTTCTCATAAAACTGAATAAAATAATCACAATGACAAGTAGCTAGGATTCCGCAATAGTTAAGTTGCCATAGTGAACTTACTCCTTTCTTAGCTGCGTCGGCAATTTGTTGGAATTCTGTGGAAAGGCTGTTGGAGAACTCGGTGCGATACGACACCGCCGATTCTCCCATCTTCACAACACGAAGAATAACAACGTACGTCTCGACCTCTGCAAAATAAAAACACACACGCGCACACAGTTATGCAGACGTGCACGTAATTTCCTAAAGCAAGGCAACGTAGGACCTCCACCCCCTCTATAATCACCGTGTACCGGGCTGTGCCACTTATGCTTGACGCATAATTATTCAGCTTGTTATACGAAAATTGACAAGAAATATATAACAAGAAAACAATTTAGAATAAAAGGCTAAGAATTGAGGTACGTAATAAAACCTTTACAAAACCAGTGTACGGTACATGCGGGGATTCCCTCCTTCGTCAAGCTATTATATATATATATATATATATATATATATATATATATATATATAAATTGTTACTCCGGCATTTTATAATTTTGGTTCCTCCAAAGTGGTCACTTAGCATAGCTCTTATTTTCAAGTTTTTGAGAAACATTATCGTAGAAATAATAAATATCGCCCTGCAATGCGTGTTAGTCAGTGTGACCACTATGCTTGTTTACTGACGAGGTTAAAGAAATTACCTGTGCAAGTCTTGTTGCCATCGTGCCTTCCGTAGCCCGGCTTGCACATACACTGCCACGTGCCGTCCAGTGCCTCGCGGCAGACCTCGTAGTTCGCCACGTTGCATCCCGGTAGACATACTGGCGGATAGCCATCGACAGGCGTCACCTTGCCAGGCTTGGTCTTTGGAGGCCTGCTCGGCTTCGGTGTGGTCGTCGTAGTGGTTGGTGGTTTTGGGAACGGTATCTTGAACTTTGGCCCCGTTGGCACTGGCTTGGTGCTCGCCGTGTCAGGAGGTCTGGACGGAGCTCTGAACGGGATTACCGGGCGTTTGCCAATCGCCGCGGTCGTCGTCCGAGGCGTCGTGAGGCGCCGCTGAGGAGGTCGCAACGTCGGAGGCGACTTGCTGTCGGCGGACTCCGGAATTCTTCCCCTGACCTCGGGCGTTACTTGCACAGACGTCGTCGGCAGGTTGTTAATAGAAGAGGAGCGAGTCGGTTCCGGTCTTTCCGTTGGAAGCACCAACGTCCGAACCACGGTCGTTGTGATGGAGTTGAAGATGAGGGTTGTCGTGGTGACCGTCGTGGTGGCTTCGCTCGGAAGAGGCGTTGTCAGCTGCGCCTCGACGGAAGCGGAAGGTTCGGGCAGGGTGCCCAGGATGGTGCGACTTCCGATGATAGTCGACACAAAAGTCCTGGGTGGTATGGTCGTAGTAAATACAGATGTTATTGTCAGCGGGCTGTCTCTCGTGTAGTACACCTTTGTTGTCGTGAGCGTGAGAGTTCGAGTGAAAGACTCCACACTCGTGACGTATTGCGTCACGGTTGACAAGCTCGTGGACACGGACGGTAGTATTGGCACTCTTTCGCCATCAAGTTGGAAGAAGATGGTCGTAGCACCGCTGACTGACTTGGCACCACCGACGACAGAGGATTTAATGGACGAGAGAAGTGCTTCCGAGGAATCTTGCGTACCTGGCAGGATGGGTGTGAAGCCCTCTCCAAAGATGGTGGTTGCTCCTGTGATCTGAACTTCGCTTACGAGAGAAGATTGGAGCGCTTTCGTGTCGGGGAAAAAGATGGTCTGGACACCGATGACCTTCGATTGTTCATTCAAGTCTGATATTGTGGCATCGTCCTTGTTGTCCTCCACACTTTGTGTCAGCTCAGTAAGCTTGTCAAGGTCATCGAAGAAGATGGTCTTGTCTCCGGTTATGACATCTGTGTTAGCGTCCAACGCCGGTGTGGCCTCAGTGGTAGGAGCCGAGGCCTTCTGGACGCTACCGACAAGGTGTACAGATGTGTCCTTGTCAACTCGCTCCGGAACGTCCTCTCCATCCCCTGTGTCATCATCGTAGTGGGCGTCCGTAGGAAGAATGAACACAGTTTCCGCCCCGGTAAACACGTCTGTGTGGAAGCCCTCTCCCATAATGGATGGCTTTCCATGCAAGAGCGAAGTGAGAGCTGGACCATCGAAGGAGTCACTATGCACTTGACTTCGCTCAGCGGCCGACATATCGGACGCGATTGCGCCAACCGGTATGTAAACAGGCTCTTCAATGTTACTTACTGTCACACCATCACTAGGTGGAAGCGGCACGTCCTCCTTCACTTGACTTGGATGAAGGTCACTTGAGCCATCAGTACCATTCTTCTTGCCATTAGACAAAAGGTGAACTATGCCTTTGATGGCTTCTCCGATATTTCCGCCAATATTAGCATTTCCTCCGAGCACATCTGCGAGGTCAATAATGGAACCTGGCTTTATTGGTTTAGATGGCGAGCTTGTGCCTGCCTGACTGCTTCCACCTGCAGCGCTAGGAGATAAAGATGGAGCGTGCTGAAAGAATGGTATCTCTGTGGCAACAACGTCGGCATGAGGTGGTGCTGCGGCTTTGCTTGGAGCTATAGCTTGTGTTCGTGACGTAAATGTTGCCTCTGTGAGCCTTGTTAGAAAACCGTCTGTGCCAGTTACCATAAATAATGTAATGCTTGGGGGCAACGTGGTGGTTTCATTGTCGTGGCCGACATATTTGGTGCTGCTTTCCTAAAACGGTTGTAGATGTGACAGGGGTGGCGACTGACGTAGACGTAAAGAAAGTACTCTGAAGGATTTCCGGGAAGAGTGAGGATGACGGTACAAACACAGGAGACAGCATCGAAGATGTAAACAGCGAAGATGCGGAGTCAGAAGCGATTGAATTCGCGTCTTCTTCTTCCTGACTGGCCGCAATGTCAGTAAAGAAGATCACGGTAGAGCCGTCAATAACCGTTGTGGAGACTCCCATTGATGACCTCGTGGTTTCTTCTTCAATTGATGGTGACTCAAGAATTGCAAACGATGGTGTCACTGTTGTAAGCGTCGGGGAAGAAGCAGGAATAAAACTAGATGACGCGTAAAGCGTAACAGAAGACTTACGAGGGATACCAGTGGAAGGACGTCTGAGACCACTTCCGAAAGGCGGTCTCTTTGTTTGACTTGCTGACGTTTTTCTGGACGGTTCCACTTTCTCTTCTTTGATAGGCTTGTACAAGGAAGAAGTAATGATATTCACTTCCGGAACAAAGCTGGTTGACGAAGATGGTGATATAGTGGTGGACACAAGCTGCGTTATAACTTCTTCTGATGACGACACGATCGTGTCAGAATCACTAACAAGAGTGGTGAAATACGTGTAGGTGGTCATATGCGTCAAGACAGTAGGTGTAGGTCTCAGGCGAGATGACGTAGTTGATGGCTTCGAGCCTATCCTTGTTGTCACAATCTGTGGCACAACTTGTTCGCTTGAAATCACAATCTTGTCTTGGCCACCAAACAGTGTAGTATAGAATGTGTATGTGGTATACGTCGTACCGGTTGTGTACAGCTTTGTATCATACGGAGGCGTAGTTGGCGTTGGCCGTGTGTAACGTGATGTAGATGTCGTTGTGGGCCTTGAAGAGGAACTTGTCAAGGTCGTTGCAGGCGTAGCAACTGTGGTTATCCTGGTAGGTGGCGTCGTTCTCACTGAGGATGTGACAGCCCCACGCGGCACGAACAAAGTGACGTGAGACGTAACAACGTTTTCTCTGCTTGCAATAATAGAGCTTGAGTCGGTGTAGAATGTCGTGAAATAAGTATAGGTAGTGTAGTACGTCCGCACGGAAGGAACCAAATCTGCAGGTGAGCCTGTGTGAGATGGCAGCACATAAGATGGCGTGCTAGATTTAGCTGGTGCAACGGAATAAAGCGCTGGTGTAGATATGGGCCTTGAGTAGACAGAAGGTCGGGAACCAGCCCTCTCTGTTACAACTGTCGTACCAATTTCTTCGATCGAAGACAGTATCGTCTCGGTTCCTCTGAAGAATGTCACATACTGCGTTTGTGTTGTAAGATACGTCCTTGTGGTGAATTCTGGAACCGAGGTCGTTGTCGGAGAAGGTGAATAGAGAGACGACAGGACAGGAGTAGCGAGACCATGAGGAATTGTGATGGTGACCACGTCTGAAAGAACCTCTTCAATAGATGTAACGATTGTGCTTGTTCCTTGGAAGAATGTGATAAAGTTTGTCTGCGTTGAATACAAAGTGCTGAGAACAGTTGATGGCTGAAGCTGCTGTGATTTGAGGATGTCGTTGGCTTGGTAGGGTTGCGGCTGCTGACTTGCGTAATGCTGTGACAAGAACTGATTTTGATCTTGGTAGTGGTAGCTCTGCTGTGGTTCGGGGCGAGAGAAAATTGGAGTGGACAGCGGCTGAATCGACAGCGTTGGTTGCACAGTTCTCGTTATTGTGAAAGACTCAGTGATGACGAATACTTGTGACTGAACTTCTTCGAAAGGCGTTACTACAGAGCTTGAGCCATTGAACAATGTGGCGTAAAATGTGAATGTATTGTACGAAGTACTCGTCACTACGCGTTCACTTGTCTCCAAGTATGTGCTTGGTTCTCTAGGCTCGGGCAAGTAGGGCGTTATAGTAGGGTACAGATTCTGCGTAACTGGAATGGTAACAGTGTTCGAAATAACTTGCTCGGAGCTTGCAATAGATGAAGAGTCGTCTGTGAAGAATGTTGTGAAGTACGTATACGTCGTGAACAAGGTTTTTGTGCTATATGACACAGAGTACGGCTGTGGTGTCACATTCTGGCCATCAAAGTTCTCCTTCATCAAGACTGCATCCAGCAGCAACGTTGGCTGCAGTGTGTAAGGCGTGGGCTGGTGGGGGAACAGGTGCGTAGTCGCTTCACCATCACCTCCACTGGCAACAATAAGGGTAACACCATCAGAGACTCGCGTTGATAATCCAGGCCTTTGTTGGTAGTGAGACGCCAAAAGGTTCAACGATGATTCGTGTTTCGGCGCAGCACCTGTAGAAGTACATGTACAAAAATACTCAGAAAATCATCCCACGTATACATATATTAGCACTTCTAATTCGCAAGAACACTGAAAGCTTACCTCTGCCAATGAGTTGGGCATTCTGGTCTCCGATAATTTCTGGGTAATGCGATGCGTGCAGGGGATCCACACGACTTGCAGCTAAAATAACGTCACATTTAGTTATAGTGTCTGCGAAATCATGGTGAAGTAGAGAAAACGTTTGTAGGTCATCTGACTTACCTACGGTCTCGGTGACGATCCTTGAATTCGTCTCCAGGACAGTCGTGTACAGAGTCTGATCCCCCAAAGTGTACGGGACCGTGAACGTAGTTGTGGTGAAGTACGTCAACATCACAGTCTGGGAAGGTTCAATCAAATCATGGTCGTCCACGCCATACGTCGGTGATGCGGTAAGGGTTACTGGTGTCGATGCAGTGATGACTACTTCTCTGTAGCTTGTCTGCAATCCGAATATGACGGGAACTGATGTCGTCGTCATAAAGGTTTCATATATGACAGAAGGAGTCGCTCGAATCAGGTCCGTAGGCTTGAGCCTCTTACTCACTTTCACAGTGAATGGGTTCTTCGTGGGCCTGGCCACACCAGCGGCATTCGTTCTGGTCACAACGTAAAACCGAGGCTTCGTGGTAATTTCGAAGCGAGATGGTCTTACAAATCTTGTGTTCAAAGAATTTGTTCTCGCCAACTTATCTCCCGGAACGGGTCTTCGAAGCGTAACTTTAAGCCTCTTTTTGCCCCTGTGCACCTCTTGGTCTTCCGGCGTCGTTAAGGGGAAGATCGCCGATGACAGTAAAGGCTCATCACCTGTCACATAAGAACTCGGGTTTGGCGAAGTAATGAAGAAAGAACTCAAAGGTTCGTACACATGACTTGACGATAATTCTGGTGGGGCAATGGAAGTTTTCGAATCATCTACGTGTTTCACTACAGGCTTAATGCGAACCCTTACACCAGGAGCAGCTTGAAACACACCAGACTTTAAGCCACCCACTGGCTTCACACGTGTAGTGACAATTCTCACCTTGGCTCTTAGTGCATTCGTTGATTCATCCACCGGAAACAGAATTACAGGTGTCGCATGAATGTTGCTTGGTGGTTGAATGTCAGCACTGGCAATGGCATAAGATGGCTGCAGAGCATCAGCGAGGAGAGACGACCTTTCTTGGTTAGATATGAAGTCGATCTTGTTGTCCACAGCGTCTGTCGCAAAGCTCGGGAAATATGATGCAGTCGGAGCAACATTCTCGTGAAGTTGCTCTATATCAGCGTCGAGAATTTTGTCAAATTTAATGACAGTTCGCATACCCAAATTTACCTCAGTTCTCGTTCCCTCCAAGTTTCGCGAGCCAAGGTGGACAGTCGTTACGTCAAGACCAAGTGGCAAGAGGCCATTCCTGATCTTTGTCTGCGTTATTGGGGGCCTGAAAGGACTGTTATCTAAAGCAACACTCGATGATATCTCTGATCTTACAGAATTCTTCGTTTCAGTGCCGTCAAAAAGCGTGTAATAATACGTGTAAAGAGTGTAGATAGTCCTCGGTGCAGTGAAAAGATCAGTTAATTGCACAATACTTGTCTCGTCTCCTGGAGGTGCATTATGATGAGGGGATTGTGGCTCCTGTATGCTTCCAAGAACCGGGGATTCTGTCTTGAATGTAGCCTCTGTCCTGTACTGTTGGCGTCGGGTGTATCTCCTTATAGATATCGCTGTTGAAGATCTGTAGACGAGACTCCAGGTTAACAATTGTTGTGGCCGCTCCTTTTGTTCTTGATCCTAGGTTAACAGTGGAAACACCATCAGGTGCCGTCGTGAACCCACCATGGTTCTGAATTACGTTCACTATATCAGAGTTCAGTGTCTCTGTCGCGACTGAAGAAAGAACAGCTTCCCGGCTGTTGTAAACGGTGTCTGTTCCGTGAAGGAACGTTGTCAAATACGTGAAGGTAGTGTAATATGTAAGCGGCACAGTAGCTCCGATCTCTAGCGACATGCTGGGGCTGACACTTTCTTGCGCTGGTGCGAACACATGACTCGAAACGAGAGGAGGTGCAACAACATTTTGGTTCAGAAGCTCGTTCGGGTTATTTGCGTTGTTTATTGGACCACGCGCCTGTAGGCTGTTTATTGATGGCCTCCTGTTCAAAACAACCTTTCGCCTTTGCCCGCCTTTTCCTTCACCAGGTTTCTTTACGCGAATTATTCGTCTGAATTGATGTGAAGCAGGTGTTGTTTCTTCCACCAGATCCGCAGAATTTTCGTTATTCTGTGAAATTGACACCGCCGAATGAGAGTCGAACGTCGGTTCGGTCGAGACGGGAGGCAAAGCGGGCGGTGCTTCAGGGAATCTTGAAACAGGAGGAAAGAACTGATCTGATGCTGGAGCAAAATACTGCTGCGACACGGGGGCAAATAGTTCTTGCGACACAGGGGCAAAATACTCTTGAGAGGCGGGCCCGAAATATTCGAGCGACTGTTGTGATGAGCCCAGAATTCTGTTGTAATCTATTGAGTCGGCCGACACAAAAACGTGCGTTGGTTCTACATTAATAGAGCTAAGCTGAACAGCGGGTGTAGAAACAATAGGCCGTGTTTTACGCACGAGAGACGTCTTCCTCTCTCCATGGTGGTTTGAATTGGTTGGCCGAATCCTCCTGAAGACTGTTCGGCGTGAGTTTCGAATCGGCGACTCAGGCGCCGGCGGTGGTGGTGGAGGAGGAGGAAGTGGGGACTCCTGGCGCTACATTGTTGAATTCGTGAGCAGGAGGTGAAAGGGGAGCTTGTTCGTCTGTAGGAACAAAATTCTGCACTGGCTGGAGTTGTGCAAAACGGTCTTGTTGTTCCGGCACTCGTGGTGAATACGGGTCAGCTTGGGCAAACTGCTGCGGCACGGGGGGCGAGTACTGATAGGGGACGTTGGGACTGAAACCTGGGAATGATTGCTGATTGACACCCGTAGAGAAGTGATCGTAAGGGATGCCATGCCCTAATCCAGCCTGCTGCGTTACCTCAGCAGGAACTCTCAGCACATCTTGAGGTTGCTGATGCTGGGGCTGTGGGACGACTGGTACTACATTTTGGTGGGGGCCAAAGTGGTTAAAATCCCCCATCGTCTTGGTTGAAAGGAGTGTCCACCTGGGGCCGGTAGTCCTCAAATCTGGTCGGTGCACCTGCCAGGGAGAACGTCCGAGTTACCGTAACGCGACGAACCTTCTTTGAACCGTCACCAAGGGATCCTTCACCATGAGGGGCAGGTCTGAGAACCTTGATCCTTCTCACTCTGCCTTGGGGGAGTGCAGAGGTTTCCAGTCCCGAAAGAGTAACCGCATCCGCCGTGATTTCGTGATTAGGTGAAGATTCCAAAGGGTCAGTAAGAGTAGCCACAACCTCCGGTGCCGAGAAGGAGTATCCACCACCCACAAAGGAAGATGACAGGAAATTGTCCAAAGAAGGAGAGGGAAGAATATGAGAGGAAAGAGCAGGCAGAGGGGTTTCGAGAAGATTACCTGGACTGTAGGCTTGCTGGCTCATCACCAAAATGAAAAGCCGAGCTTGGTTCTTGAATCGGGTTCAAGTCTACCGGATCTTGGACAACATGAGGAGGTCTTCTACGAATAAAGCCGCCATGAGGACCTCTGAATTCATTTGGCGACGAGCCATCCAGGATCGCTCTGTTTCTATGTACAGGTCTTCGAAACACTCGCCCACGGCGGATTCCGGTACGGACGGCGCCTTCAGCGGGATCGTCAAGAACTGTGCTGGCACTGTGAAAACCAGGCTGGGGGTCCCCACTGTTGTCCACAAGAGGCTCAGGGCGTTGAGAGATGCAGAGGCTGCACTCGCGTAGCACGAACCCGACTTCTTCCACGTATGCGCGTGAAATCTGCCGCTTGTCTCACACCTTCATCTTCGGTTTCTTCGAACTGCTGTAACTTTCGAGAGATGAACTTTCCACCGATACCATACTTGTCATCCTCCGGGACTAACATCGGGTGCAGCCGTTGGCTTCTTTTCGGCTTTCCACTTCTTCGCAGAGACACCTTTGGTTGGCTTAGGCAGCACCGGGATGTCGGTAGCGGGTTGCTCGTAAACCTCGGTGATTGGTCCCATGGATATGGTCGTCACTGCGTCAGTGTCCGAAATGCTGTCAGAAGCTGCGATGTGTGGGCTTCGAGACTGTGCCAAGGACCAGGAAGATGCACTGCCTAGCGAGGGTTCGATTCCGGAGCTGAAAAGTGCTACCTCTTCAGGACGCTCACCACCTGGCACTTCATCCTGTCTGGACCCGTCGACAGCAACTCCTATGAACGCTGTGGAAGCCAAAGTGGCAAATTCAGAAGCCTTGTCGGGAACGCTTCTCGCTACTTTAGTGTGAAAGAAATGCTGAGGCTGCTGATAAAATGGAACAGTGACAGTAGTAACTACAGGAATCACGTCCCCCTGGTCCCCAGTGACATACAAAGTCAGCATTGTTGTTATTTGAGGTACCGCAAAATATGGCTGCGGTATAAAAGGTGCTGCTGTGGGAATTTGGGGAACAGGGACGGACGCCGTCTTCGTCACTGTTGATTCAGAAAATTTTGTTGTAGTGACGGTGCTAAGAACCGTTCTTCCACGAAGAACAATGGGCAACACTGTCGAAGTCACAATTGTTTCCGTTGTTACATATGAAGAAGTCAGTAGGCTAAAATCTTGGTTAGGAATCTGCTGGTAAAAAGGGACTGGAAAGCCAGGAGGGTTTGTGGCTGGTGTAGTTGGTATAACCTCTGGAGTTATGGTACTGTACAGGGTTGTGAGTTGGGTTAAGACTGTCGTCTCGGTTATTGTGTCAGTACGGGTGCTGAACCCTACCTTTATTGGAAGAAGCCTAAACTGCTGCAAGTCGCTGGTCGTAATTAGCACTTCTGTGAATGTCGTGTAATGACCATTCGCATCGCTTTTGGAATTGAGAATAGTCTTTGTCCGTCCCGACTCATCAACAGCCGTCGAGTACAAAGTAGGCTGAATTACGCTGGATGCTAGAGCTGTAGTCGTCAAAGTCGCGTATGAGGTCTTGAAGCCATGGTATATAGGGAGAGTTTTTACGGTCGTTATGACAGAAGTGACGGTTATGGGAGGTTTTGTCGACAGCCGGCCAGTTGATGTTAACGACGTTCTACGCGCCCTGGGGTTGTAAGAAGAGCGTCTCCTGTTTCCTCGAAGTCTAGCGAAGGGCAAATTGGGTGACTCCTCGTCATCCTTTACGGTGTTGAACGACGATTTCAAATTAGGTGCCCTGGCTCGGTTCTGGTTACGGCGGCCTTTGGCTACTGGATTTTGTCGCCCACGGTTTCTAGCGTTTGACTGCGAGTCTTCATTAGAATTGTCTTCCTCCGTGTGCTGCTGTGGTCTTCCTAACGGCCTTGCTCCTACATTGACTCTGCCTCGAACAACACTCTGTGGACCCCTTGATGTTGGTTTAGGACGACCACGGCCACGGGGATTTCGCTCAGCTGTATAGTCATCATCCTCTTCGTAATCAGAATACTCTTCCTCGGATTTTACCCTACTCGGGTTTATACCATAAGTCTTGTCTACTGCGGACGGTCTCGTTCTTGTAAAAGGTGCCCTTACATGAGATTTCCCAGCTAGTGGTCTCGCTGAACCTCGGCGTCGCCCCAAGTGCAATTGCGGAGTAGCTGCCGAGCTGTGCACAGCCTCTTCTGCTTCGATCTCTTCGTCCTCAGGTTTTAAGGGGCGTCGGCTGTTTAATCTCTGTCTTCCATGCGGTCTTCTTAACTGAAGAGTGAAGGCTGGCTTGTTGACTACCCTTGATGGTGGAGCGTAGGAAACGCGGTCTCTTCTGAAAGGTCTTATGTTCACGCCTGAAGCAGGTGAAGCCTGCTTGGTATCTTCGTTTCTGTTTGCCTGAGACTTTGACCGTGCTGTAACTTGCTCGTAGTCGTCGTCATGATATAGGTCGTATTCTTCGTCTTCTGCCTGGTGCTTGAGTTGGTGCGTCGTCTGTGGTTGGCGAGGGCCTCTGGTGTATCCCGCCCGTGTGGGTCGATGTCTCTTAGACGAGCGTGGTTCAGGTGTTTGAAGCTGTTTCTCTTCATATTCATTGTAATCTTCATCTTCTTCGTCGAGGAATTCATTTTTACCATAATCTTCAGGTTCCTCCTCCTCATCTCTTAAGTCACCAGGCTGGCGATGGTTGGGTCTCTTAACACCATTAGGACGCCTCCTGGTAGGGAATATTGGTCTTATTCGTGTAGTGACTGTCTCCTGGGTTTCAGTAGATGACTTCTCCAGAATTTCATTTGTGTGACTCGATTCGGTCGACACACTGGTCTCTAGAAATATCTCAGTTTCTATTGACCTGCTGTCAGGTATATGTGTTATTGCAGGGGTCGACTCGGTGACTGTGACCTTCGTTTGGTCTGTGCTTATTGAAGAAAGTAGGACTAACTTCATCTAGAGTTGGAAAGATAGTTTTATCATCAAGCGAAGAGTCAATGCGTATCGCCGTAGTAAGGCCGATTTCCTCGAGTATATTGTCGGTCGTCGTGTCTAGTTCCACAATATTTACGCTATTCTTGGACGATGACGAAATCGGCAAATGCAACGTGCTTATTGTTTCAATGCTGACTGGTGCACTCAACGTACTGGTGAGTTCCTTAGAAGTTTCGGTTATCTGAAACACGTTGGGTGACTGTAGTGTAAATATGGAAGATTCTGGCGCGATAAATGTCGTCAGCTCCCAACTAGGACTTGACAGAGACGGCGATATAAAACTCCAGCTAGATTGCTCAGTCAGCGTGCGCGGCAGCGTGCTTGAAGAAACGAGGGCAGATAAAGAGCTATAGAAGCTTGAGAGCAGGTTCACAGGTTCTGACTTGCTCGTAGACTGGGCGTATTTTGTTGTACTAGTTCTTGCCAGGTGGGCGTAAAAGCCGTTTATGAAGGTTCCATAAATATCCGTGGTATATTCGGTCACATACCCATCATGAACATCAGATCGCACAGATCGCGATACAAGGCCAGTTTTTAGTGTTTCTGATGCTGAAGATGACGCTGTGGTTCGGGGTATCACGCTTGATGTACTCCTGGCAACGTGGGCATAAAACCCGTTAATATGCGTCCCGTACACATTAGTGGTGTGGAGGGTCGTAGCACCATTGCGGATTTCTGTGCTGACTTCACTTGATATAAGAGTTTCCGTGTTCTCTATCACTGCTGGTGCCTGCGTCGCCTTCACTAAAGCGGGCTTCAAGATACTGGATGTCTTTCGTGCAATATGTGCATAGAAACCGTTGATGTAGGTGCCATGTATCTCTGTCGTATGAACAGTCGTCTTGCCGCTCTGTACTTCTGTGCTCACAATTGACGAAACCAATCCAGTTTTCTGGCTCTCCGTTTTGGCTGCTTCCTTGTAGGTCTCTGTAGGCGTTACGATTCGACGCGTAGATCTTCCGAACTGGGCGTAGGCGTCGCCAATGTAAGTCCCGTAGACCTCAGATATGTGCAGTGTGGTTGAAGCGCCATGGACTTCACTGCTGAACACGCTTGACGAAAGTAGCCCTGTCTTCTGTAGGAATGGTTGTGTTGCCGCCTTTGTGCTGGTAGGCTTTATGGTCTCTGTGCGTGTAGAAGTCTTCGCTAACTGTGCGTACAAGTTACCTACGCTGGTTCCGTATATTTCCGTTGTATAGTACGTAACGACATCTCCATGCGTGACGCTTTGAACCGTTGATGAAACGATGCCTGTTGGCTTGGTGGCTGTGATTGGCTTGACTGCGTCAGTTTTGCTAGCTGCAGTTTTTGTTAAAACACGAGACGTTGTGCGTGCCACTTGCGCGTAAAGGTCACCGACAAATGTACCGTAAATGTTAGTCACCACTTCCGTTGACGTCCCCCCGTTGACAACTACGTTCGTTCGCGCAGAGAGAAGTCCTGTCGTGTAGCTCTTTGTCTTCGTCTGTTGCGAGGGCACACTTGTTCGCGTGGGTATCTGGCTGACAGGCGTCTGTACAAAAGCGTTTTTGGACGGTTTGAGTATCTCCGACGCTGTGGATGCTATGTGGGCATAGAATCCGTTCACGAACGTGCCATAGACATGTGTTTTCCAAACGGTCGTCGTCGCGTCGTGGATTTCTGTGTTGACTAGCGAGGAGATGAGGCCCGTTTTGTACTCTTGGCTCTTCGTAATACTAGACACTGACTTAGAGGCTTGAGCTTTGATCACAGTAGACGTCGTCTGAGCGACATGGGCGTACATGCCTCGAATGTACGTTCCATAAATATTCGTCGTATAGGCAGTGGTGGTGCTGTCGTGAATGACCGTGTTCGCTATAGAAGATATTAGACCAGTCGGGCGCGTTGGTGCAGGAGATCCAGGAGACGTAGACAGCTCTTGCCTCGACGCAACGTGCGAGGAGCTGTGCTGATTCTGTTCGGAGAACACTCGCACAGCCGTGGAGACTACTTGAGCGTAGGCGCCATTAATGAAAGTACCATAGACTTCCGTAGCATATACAGTTGTCGCTCCATTGCGCACTGCTCTTGCTTCCGCTGACTGAATGAGACCTACGGGATGGTCCTTGGCTTTGTCGGCAGAACTTCGTTCGTTGCCTGCAGAACGTGGCACAAGTCCAGGCTTATGTCTATTAGCTGACGCTTCTTCATCGTCCGTAACGACAAACTGGTAAGGTACGGAAAACTCGTTTTCTTTGCTACTCAGGGAAAGCAGCTTCCTGGCTTGAGGCCTCCGATTGAGGTTAAGAGTGGTGGTGTCTTCGCTAACCACGGTATTGGCTTCTCCTTTTTCCACGTCTCGACTGCGCTTGCGCGGGGGAACCTCGTTCGTCGTTCTCGTGGGCAGAACAACGTCAGTGAACACGTTAGTTATGACTTCAAGTCGCGTTGATACACTCGGCCTGCCGTCACTGAGGACAGTGGTGAAGTGCGAGAAGGTTGTGTAGAACGTCAGCGGTGAAGGCGTTGCGATAAATGACGGCTCCAGTCTGGCAGTTCGGCGCAGCCCCTCGTAATCTTTCTCATTGCGCCTGGCCTCCCTGTAGTATACGGATGGTTTCAGATAGACAGCCGGTTCTGAGACAACTTGCTGTGGATGTGTCTGCTGATGCTGGTAAAGTTGTGTGTCAGACAAGGAGACCGAAGAGGCCGATGGCTTTGGCAGAAACCGCTGCGGTGGCAGCCTCGAGCCTTTTAGTGAGTTTGCGTTATGGCGCAAGTGCGCAAAAGAAGTCGATGTGCCGTCCCTTAAGGGGCTTCTTGGGAACCTACCTGAAAAATCATGACAACCTCGCGTCAAAGGAGCTTCGAAGCGCGCACTTACGGCTTCTTTATATAGTGAAACTCAGGCGTTTCCTCCCCGAGAAGCAGGAAAAAAAAACTAGAAAAAGAAGGCCGGGGAAGCGGAAGCGTGCAGCTGCATAAGCAACATGCGTATTCGAACGCACTTCTATATTAATGAGTAAAGATGATGTTCTAAGGTAATCGTCAGTATGAGTAGTTAGTCGAGATTTCTATACGTACGTAACTTGTTACTTAACTTCATATAGTAGTATCGGTATGCTACGCAAAAGACAAGGGGTCAAGAGCTGCTATGAGAGTTATTCCTAACAATAAGGATTATATAATGTTTTGTTAAAGGGAGTAACACATTGTAGGAAACAAGCGACAGCTACTAAACGTTTCTGTATGTACCATTCTAAGTTATATCATGTTACACTATTACAATACGACACTAAAGCGGCAATGCGAACTCAAGCAGGGTGCAAGCGTATTTGCATGCCGCAAGCATGCCAGCAGCTGAAATACGCAGCGCACACAAGCCGTTCACTTTCAGTTAGAGCAAGCCAATTAGCAACGTTCATTGGCGAAGAGGCTTGGGCCAGGCGGGATCTGCAAGCCGTGCGCGGTAGGCAAGCGCGCTGCAAGCAGAACTGCCGAGGCATGAGCTATTTGGAAGAGGCCTCCCTGAGAGCAATGTTTTTTTTCTATCGCAATATAGTTGCGTATCCGAGTCCTACTTCTGTCATGCCATTTGGTTTTAGTTTGAAAGAGTTTAGTTGTGTGCACGCTGGCTTTAATTCAAAGCTGACGCCCGTCAGAGAGAGAGAGAGCGGGCGAAAAAAGGAGAGAACAGCGCGAGGGAGGAGGGGTAGAGGGTAAAAGGATGGGGAGAGGTTTTCGTCGGCATGGTCGCAGCGTTAGCGACCTCTGGTTGGCTGTCTATACTGACATCTTGGGGTCTTCGTCGTCTATCTTGACAACGACGAACGAGGGGACGTCCTTCATAGCGTTGCGCCAGCGACACATTTCGTGGAGAGTTCCCGCGCAAGCGTCGATCCGTCGAGTTCTCTGACCGACTCCAAAGGAACGTTCCCGCAGACTGCTGCTCGTCGAGGGGCCCGCTCAAACACGTTGCTGGTTGCCGTTAGAAGGGTCCATTGTTTGAAAGGAACGTCCGAGCTTGTTTCCGCCGAAATGGGCAGAAAGGAGACGGAAATGTAGGGAAGGGGCGCTCGACGCTCACTCCGTTTTTTTCTGTGCAGATACCGTACAACCATGTTTTTTTCTCGCTCATCTGTCTCTCTCCCTTTTGTTATGCATGTTTTTGTCGTGCTGTATTTTTGTCTGCTAACCTGGTTGTTGTTAGGGGGTCATTGGTTGTGCGACAGTGTCCCATTGTTCTTCGTTGGAGGCATATACAGCCTTTGGCTTACTCTCTCCTTACGGACGTAAAGCTTACGGCGACTGTCGTCACCCATGAGCAAGTGAATAACGCCTGCTGGGCTTGCCCGCTAGAGAGACTAGTCCAGATGTCAGCATGCACAATATTACGCGCTTAGGATTGAAAACGCACACATGGGTTACAAGCGTAAACATTCAAAGACACTAGGAAACAAGAAATATATTACAGACCAGTAACACTCCGAACCAGTTAGCATTAGTAATACACACTAAAGCGTCAAAGAGAGGCCTCCCCAAAAAAGTAACCAAACGGGCGATCACGACACGCCGCACCGCTAGGCACAACAAACACGTCACAAAACGCCAGAAGTTCTAGGTGCTGCGTGCGATTAGCAAGCTAAAAGAGGAAGCGGCTGAGCGGAGTTCTCCAAAGGGGGGGTTTAGTGTTTTAGTAGATTAAGTGAAAGGGAGCGTAAAATAATTGTGTTTACCATGACTCAGCATCTTTCTGCCGGGCCGAGCTTGGGGAGCATTTACGTCATCAGAGAGCCCTCTTTGGGCTCGGTGTCGAGGCACTTCGAACATATCACCGCGTCCACCAACCAGTTCGTACTCGGCTTGCGCCAGCCCTGAATCAGATATGGCGAATGGTAATCGCGTTGCCGGAGACGACCGTCGACGTCTGGAAGGCACTATTTTCTGGAAAACGGGCAGTTGTTCTTGTATGCGCTCTTGCACGTTGTCTAGCCTGGACTGAGTCTGGCCTTGTTGGAGATCCTGCTTGCTCGGCTCGGGTGCGACGGATGCCCTAGTTGGTAGCACGATGCCAGGATACAATGTCAGTGTACGTCTCGTACCGAGTCTGGACCACTGGACGTCCGCCTTCGAGGAGTGTTGTAAAGTGAGTATACGTGGTATAGTAAGTCGTGGGAGTTGGCTGGATGTGCGGTCCCGGTGCCGGCGTGTGCGTTATTGCTGCAGTTTGATGATGCACACCACCACCAGTGCGAGCGGCCTTCTATGTATCCCGCTGGACAGGTGTTGCACAGGGCACCATATACAGTGTTCGTCACTGTCTCCTTTCGTGTATTCACTATGGCACTTCCATCAACATATCGTGTTGTGAAATATGTGTACGTAGTGTGGTAGGTTCTGTATGGTCCTGTGTCAGCTGGCCTGATTCTCGCCCCTACGTCTTGCCTCGCGTATTCGGTAAGTGTAACGGTTGCAACATTTGTGACCGTCTCGTACCGGGTATCGACGACCGGTCGGCCTTCTAAATAGTGGGTGGTGTAGAAAGTGTAGGTAGTGTAAGCTGTGTGGTGAGGCGCATAGCCAGGCACTGTCGAGTAGAGAGGCTTGTATACTTGCGTAGGTCTAATTCTTGCCTGCTCGGTTACCGTAACAGTCACGTAGTCAGTTTTTGTCTCGTAGCGTGTCTCGACACTCGGTCGGCCGTGAATGAGCCTTGTGGTGAAGTAAGTGTAAGTTGTGTACACCGTATCTCTGATCGGAGTGGGTTGTATGATGACAGGTTGATACACTTCGGTCGGTTGAATAGCGCGACCTGCAACTCCATCATCTCTTGTTCGTGTAACGTAGTTCGTTAACGTCTCGTATCGCGTGGATACCGTTGGACTTCCATGAACAACCTTGGTAGTAAAATACGTGTAGGTTGTGTAAAATGTATCAATCGCTGTGGCCGGTCGGTGGGGCACGATTGGTTGAACAATAGTCGGTCTGGTTCGTTGGTGAATTGGCTCTTCAGTGACGGTGACCGTGACGTAATTTGTGACCGTATCATAGCGTGTAGATGTCACCGGTTGACCCGCGACAAGCACAGTTGTGTAGTATGTATGAGTAGTGTATTGTGGTTGCTGCCTGCAGTGAACACAGCCTGGAACAGCGACCACTTGAGAAGGCCTGTGCTCGTAGACTGTTTGCCCAGGTGTCACGGTGACGTAGTTTGTAAGCGTTACGTAGCGCGTCGATGTAACTGGCCGTCCCTGAAAGAACTCCGTGATATAGTCTGTATGAGTGACATATACAGTCTTTATGTCGGATCGGCACCGGATGCATTCCGTGACTCCTTGATGGGAAGGATAAACACGGACAGGTTCGGTACGATGGATCTGGTCATGGAATATTGTTCTCGTAGGTGCAATGCGCTGGGTGGGATAGTGAACAGATGAAATTACCTGCTGGTTGCTGGCAACAGATGTGCGTCCGTCTGGCTTTAGATACGTAGTGAAATATGTGAAAGTTGTGTAATATGTGACCGGAGTTGCGTATGTTTCATCTCCTCTTGCCTCTGCTACCGCGAGGTCCTTCGGTTCTGTGTTCCTCTTGTTCCTAACTACAATCAAAGGTGCGCCCAAGGCGCTACTGATGTGCGCTCCCGGTGGTGGTGGAAGCCTTGTTCGACTTCTCAGGATCGGTGTTCTCAGTCTAAACTTAAATGGCCTGTTCTGGAATGTTGACGATGCCTTCTGAAAGCTTGAATCAAGTTTTAGTGTCAATGACGGGCTTGGCACCTCAGTGGCGCTTTCTTGAACAAGAGAATGCAGTACTATAGATTCGGCTTCACTGCTAACTCTGTCGGAGATTCCATCCGTTGTTACAGAGCTTGAGACCTGTGCAGATTCAGTCGATTCAATTGGAGACTGTGAATCTGTGTGGTCAACCTGAAATCCTGCTGGAAGATTCGCTGCTGTGGGACCCACGACGTTAGAAACAACTTCCGTCCTGCTCGACAGCACTGTGCTTCCTTCCGTGTAGAACTGTTGTGTAGTAGGTGTACGTGGTGTAGTGAGTCACTGGCACATTGCGAAGAAGCTCTCGTAGATCGATGCCTTCAGGAAGCGAGCTAAGCAGAGGAGGCGTCTCTTCGGTCATTGACACGTGTGTCGGCTGTACTTCAGGAGACACAGTCGTAGGCGAAACGTTAGAGATTATGTCATGTGGCGTCATGGTCACGTAGTTCGTTAAAATTTCTTCCCTGCTGGATACGGTCGGCTTTCCATCTGTTTCAAACGTAGTGAAGTATGTATACGTAGTATAATATGTGCGAACGACGGTGCTGCTTTCAAGATTCCTCTTCGTCTCTTCGAGGTTAGGAGTCTCTGACGGCTGTGATATCATGCTCGTAGCCGTTTCTTCGTGACTCGATATTACCGGTGTTCCATCTTCGTAGAACGTTGTATAGTAGGTGTAGGTTGTGAACATGGTGGCAATGCCTGCCGTTGGAGTAGCTTGAATGGCACTCTCAACGGTTCCGTCTGAAATGTCTGTTGAAGAATGGCCAAGAGTTTTCGTTATGGCTGAGGTTTTCGATATAAAGGAAACACGAGGAGTCCCATCTCGAACACTGTCACCGGGGATAATATTGTTGTGTAAGTGGTTATAATCGATGGCTCCGGCGTAGACTGGTGCGCCACTGTTTTCGGATACTTCGTAACTATGTTGGTTTTGACACTTTCGCGGCTTTTCACAGACTTGGTGCCTCCTCTGTTAACGGTAGTGAAATATGTGTACGTGGTGTAGTAAGTGGACACAACAGGCGTTGTGATGAGTTCACTTGTACTTGGCTCAGAAATTGTCTTGATCTTGGACACAACTTGCGTTCGATTTCGGATTGTTGTGCTTCCTCCACGCACGAACGTCGTGTAATACGTGTAAGTCGTATAAATTGTCGACAAATGGTCCATCTTTGTTGGTTCTATCACCTCACTTGTCCGTGTTGTCATTTTTGTATCGCTTCCTCGTACTGTATTCGATACAATCTCTTCCCGGCTAGTGACGGTTGATGTCCCATCCCTGAGAAGTGTCGTGAAATACGTATATGTGGTGTAATATGTCGTCACTGGAACGATAGACGTTGGCGAAATGTTCTTTAAGTTGTCATGAGTTGGGTCTATGGAACCACTGGAAGAGCCATAAACAACGTTTGAAACTGTTTCCAAGCTGCTAGTCACACTGGAAGTACCATCCTTGAAGAGCGTTGTCAGATAAGTGTAAGTCGTGAAGTATGTTGTGCGTGCTGCGTCTAAAGGTGGAGTCGCTATTGATGAGCTTGTAGCATCATCTTTGGAGCTTTCACTTGCCTTCTCTGCGTGGTAGTCTGCTGGCTCGGTACGTGAAGCAATATCGTAGAGTGGAGATGTTTCTAGATAAACTTGGGTTGCTGTTGGTGAAAGTATTTCGCTATCCACATTCTCCTCAGAGGGAGCCAATAGGTCTGACATAGTTTTTTCACTGACAGAGACAAGAGTTGATCCGTCAAATGTATAGTGCTTTGGTAAGTATAAGTGGTCATCATTGTCGCCGTCTGTGAGGGATCTAATGGGAGCATTGATTTCTCGGGTGCTATAGTGTCAAATCCATGTTTCCGGGCATCTTCATACTCCTCCTTGTTTTCAAACACCTGAGATGTTGTGACTTCTCTACTGGACACAATGCTATCAGATATCGTCGTGTAGTAAGTGAATGTAGAGTAGTGTGTGATAGGATATGATGTATGTGTCGTCACTTCCTGATCTGCCGGTGCCACGGTGTCGATAATTCTTCCTTGTAGCGTAGACTGCGTTTCATCGTTTCCAAGCTGAGAAGGTAGATCCTGACCGGGCAGAACAAAGCCATCTGTCAGGAGTCTAACTTCATCAGTGTGCACAAGATCGTCTTCAAACTCTTTTGCGGGGTCAGCTCCTGGCAAAATAAATCCCATGGTGATGATTTTTGGCTTGTCTTCTTCTGGACTCGAAGAAGTTGTTGGCTGCTGGTCATAATCGTACTCCTTCGCACTATCTTGCAATCCAGGCAAGATAAAGCCGTCTGTCAAAACTGCTACGTTAGATGTTGACGAGGATGTCGTTTGAGATGGCTTTATTGACGGAACTAATGTTGAAAGGTGCAAGCCATCTGATAGTTCAACGACTGAAGGCTGCTCTTGCCCAGGGAGGGCTGTTTCATAGCTTTCTTCAATAACCCGTGACTGGTTGATAAGTGGAACAGCAAAATTAGAAGTGATACTGTATACGTCCAAGGAATCGTGAGATATTTCACCACTATCTACTTGAGGCGTCTCCTCTGTAATGGGTGGGGGCATCTGAGTGCCTTCTTCTAGATCCTGTTCGGTCACTGGTTGATCAGATACTCCCTCGATCTGGATGTCACTAGGAAGCACAAGACCAGGAGGGGCTGGAGGTGGTGCTTTTGGCGTTGTAACTTCTTTCAACATTTCTGTCTTAGCCTGGGTGTAAAATATGCTCGATGTGCTTTGAATGACGTGCGCGTATCTACCGCCGATCACCGTGCCAATAATAAGTGTTGTCCATTCCGTAGTCATGTCACCATTGATATCTGTGCCTGTTATAGAGCTCACTAAACCGGTCTTGTATGTTTTCTTTCTTTTAGGCTTGGGTGTGGATATAATTGGGCGAGTAGGTGTTACAGGATACTTTTGTGTTTTTGACCCTTCGATCATAGATACCATAACCGTCTCTGAGGGCTCAGCAGAACTACCGAGTGCCGGTGGCGTGAATGTTGGCGACGACACATCTTCATTCTTAGAAGCGGGAAATAAGAACGAAGACAAGAAGTTTGGCGTCGCTAGATCATCAGGCCTAAAACTTGAAGAAGTAACTATGTTTTCCTGCAAGTGACTATCATAAAAATAGTCTTCTGGGTTTTCTGAATTGTCGATATTTATTCTAGCACCGGAAGAGTGGAGATCTTCCTCAAAATTAGCGTCATCATGTTTTGGCAGCCGAGATTTGACTAGCATCGGGATTGTTGACGTGTACATAGTACTGAGCATTTCTACTCCACCCTTAAATGTGGATGTTAACATTGACAACTTCGACACGAACTCTCTTGTTTCAGTGCCATACACAGACTTCCTTGGCGTTGCTGACGACGAAGTTGTCTGCTCATTTCGCGTAGGAATGTTGAATGGGTTGTATATGTCTTCATCATGTGGACGTCTGGTCTTTCCGAAGTCGAAAGATGTACCTGTCGCCGCTGGTTGAAATACAACTTCCGTTCCAGATATTGTCGTCGTGAAGTCTAAAAAGCCAAATAACGTCACTCTGTTCTTTTTTGTCGATGTACTCTGCTCACTATTATGACCGCTTAAAGCGTCCGTTGCAAATATGTCACCAACATCGTCGGCGTACTCATCATGGTGGGAACCAACCGTTTTGGTCGGTCTAATGTCCTTCACAGGTGAAGGTGTCAGTAGTTCGGGCCTAAAACCCGCAATATTGATGTTGTTGAGGGGGTGTCTCATTCTAACCATAACCACAGGCTCTTCTTCTCGTGCTGGTGGAGTGTCGTAATCATGGTCGACGTCTTCCAGAAACTCATCTGCTGTTCTAGATGCGTCCGAGACTGGAGATGTTGTGTAAAGCCCTAGATGTTGAGGCAGAAAAAATTTGTCCGTTATTATAGTCGCCCCATCCATAGGAGCGATTCTCCTTCCTGTCGCCGTTGGCTCAAACTTTTTCCCATGTCTGTATAGTGTTGGTGTGGGCTTTTTGTGTGTTTGTGAACTGATTTTTTCTCGTCGACTCTTAGACGGCATAGAGCTCAATGTTACATGCATTGTGCTAGCTGTTGTCATGTGAGATCTTGTGATACCTTCGATGGTTATGGGCTCAGAACCTTCGATCAGCATTCCGGTCATAGATTCACCACCTTGTGCACTACCCGATCCAAAAATGAGGTAGTCAGAACGCGGTGCCTCTGTTGGCGAAATGGTGGATACAGTCTGAGAAGGCAGAAGCACGCCAATCTTGTGGGAAATGTCCAGGACTACACCTTTCTGGTTGCCTGATCGAATGTCGAACTCCGCTGATCTCGTGGCCTCTTGCGGAAGCGAAGTCGTGGCGTCGACCGGTAGCTGTCTGTTTCCAAAGAAGAACATGTACGTCTTCGCATTGTGATCCTCAGTGTTGACGTAGGTACCGGTAAATACCTTGTACGTCACTTGTTCGGATCCTGTTGCCTGAACGAGAAGGCCTTCCGTACCCGTGACTGTTATGACTGGCACCTCACTGTCTTTTTCATCACTAAGCTCAGATATCTGACCACTCTTGATGTTGAGGCCCACTACAGTGGTGGATTTGCTGCCCGGCAGTGCACTCAGCAGGGACCCTTGCGTAGTTTTGGTTGGCTTAACGCCCGTCGTAACGGTCGAGGACAGCTCATTGACGGCCGTTTGAAAGACCTTTCCAGAACTCAAAGAGCCGAAGCTCTGTACGCCGTGTGTGGTCTGTGGCCGCTGTCTCGCGCCTTCTTGCTGGGCTGAGTATTCTACTTCGTTGAGGGACGGCGCAAGCTCGAGTACGGTGGAATGGGTGGACAAGATCTGACTGTACGTGCCCTCGACGTACTCTCGTCGTATTTCGGTCGTGTGCAGTGTTGTTTGTTCGGCGTTGACTTCGGTGCGGGTGAGAGTGGCCAGGGCGCCCGTGGGCTCGATCAGAGCCACGCTCACTTCCGCAGCTTCTGCCTGGTGGTCCAGTCCCACGGTGTATGTCATTAGGCCCGAATGCCGCGCCCTTCTCCTCCGTTCAGAGTCTGGCCAGATAAACAGCACAGCACTAGTCAGTGCCCGTGACCTTTGTTGCCGCTACGGTGTAGCACATAAGTGGCGCGTTGATAACAATGATATCATTTTATACGATAATTCACTAACGTGCGGTTACACAAAAGTCCGAAACTTGTCACCACCATGAAATAGTCTTGTATAGTGACAGCCTCAGTAGAGTTAACACGGCGGCAAGAAAGATCACATCGGAAAACTTCAAGCGCTGTGCGGTTGTAGCGATTGCCTTTCGCCGTGCTCACACGACGACTACTTACACACTCATACTTCGTAGCCATAAAACAACAAGCGGGACAAACGTTGTTGTAGTCTATTATATATGCTACCAGGCGTAAAAGCGATAAAAACTACACTTTTTTTCTGGCGCTGAGGAATGCATCGCCATACCTGACATGTCACTAAACTTGGCTCGCAAGCTCCCCAAACTGCCCGTACTACTAGGGCCAGTATATGCACTATTTTTTCGTTAACACGACCATTTTTTCGACAATCTTATCGCTACCGTAATCAAAGAGTTTTCGCAGTGTCCATACTGTTTAGTTCCGTTGGTTTTACCTAGATAGTGTGGTAAAAGCATCAGTCATACTTTCCTAATTAGCTTTGGCAAATACAACTCTTTATAGCTGATTCATGGCAGTTTTAGCGGGCAGTATTTCATATACTTGTTTTTTTATTGGTGTCAGTTAATATTCAGACTGAAGAGATCATCTGGTGTGCTTTGCACACATATATGTCTCTGAGGACGTCTTCGACACTGCAGAACTACCTCGGAGCTTATCGATGTAAGTCATACATGAATCGTTTGGGGTTTGGGGCGAAATTGTTGAAGGCGTGTGAATCGGGGCAGCCACTGGGTTAATATCAGGAACGCACACACTGTAATGATGGTAGTGTTATGGTGGTTAATTCTGGGAACTATGGTTCAGTGGCCACGGATGTGAACAGGGTCAAAACGGCGTACAGGGCACACATGCCGGGTGTTTTTGTTTTGGGGGTAATCGGGTGAAATTTTCGTTATTTCGATCAAGTCGTGGCTTATTGTTCTGTTCCCACTACCACGCACACCGCAGCAACCCTCAAGCGTTTCCCGCCAATGCAGAGCCAATAGTAGAGGAGGAAAGTTGAACGACAAAGTTGCGTTTTTGTATTGACCAGGCATTCGTGAAAAAAAAAGTTTCCGATCCAAGTTCCCACTTTTGTTGTTAACGTGCATCTTTGCCGAAACCACGTGGCAACAGCTTCGCAGTGCTTTATCAACAAACACGTCGCTTATGCGTTTAAGCATGTCATCAGAGACTCATTGGTATATTACCGACTTACCACCTAGTACAGAAATACGTTGTCATTTTTCTTCCTCCTCTCCTATTTCTTGATTATGTCTCACAAGGGCTCCCTTTCTTTTCACTGTAAGCGTTCTCTACGACCCCCTTTTCCAGTTCTTCCATGCTAAGACGCCTACAATTGTGACACTGCAACATAAAAGCGGCATTTATGAAGCTGTAACACGTACCTGAACGCCGACGCCGCTCAACAGCCATGAGGTCTTGCAAGGAGCTGTCGCTGGGACACTTGTAAGCCTTGCCTTTCTCTTTGTCTGCCAACCAGAACGGCGAAATGTTGGACTGTCACTATGCACCCTCGTCCTAAGTTTCTTTCCGCTTTCACATAGCGCCGATATGCAAATTCCATAACTTTAAACATAAGCTAGTCTACAGGCAGGAACCAGGAATACACGCTGGTTGGTATCCTAAAATCACGTACCCAGCCGCACAAGCGAGATGCCCGTTAAGCACTGGTGAATAAAAGGATTACGTTGTTCGTCTTTTTGTTAACTACTTAAGTAACAAGCGTGCACCCGTGTAATGAGTCCAGTGGCTGTAATAAACGCGTAATGAATTCTTAGGCCCTAACACGCTTTATACTTAATAAAAGTTGACTTAAATACGAGACTGCACGTGAAATTTCCCGCTAGTCAGTGCATGCTCAGTAACGTGATTGCTATAAGGAACATGCGAACATATAGTTTATGGTAAATAAAGGAACCACTCTCCCATGGCTCTCATATGTGACTTATTCAAGGGCTGATTTAGCTGACCTACGAGCTTAAGTACTGATTTTCTATCTATCTATCTATCTATCTATCTATCTATCTATCTATCTATCTATCTATCTATCTATCTATCTATCTATCTATCTATCTATCTATCTATCTATCTATCTATCTATCTATCTATCTATCTATCTATCTATCTATCTATCTATCTATCTATCTATCTGTCTATCTATCTGTCTATCTGTCTATCTATCTATCTATCGATCGATCGATCGATCGATCGATCGATCTTATGCACATCTTCACCGCTATCTAGTGCTACTTCCTCAGATAAATCAGATGCCGATGCATGTGAGAAATACAGAGTTACTTTCCTTGATATAGGCATTCCCCGAGAATTTTCATATTGGTAAAGAAATCATGAAAGCTAGGAGAAAGGATACCATTAGCAACTTTAGTTATTCAATGAGCAAAGTGGATTGTTTGTTAACAACAGTTCCTTTGCTAACAACACGTACTCATAATTGTTTGTATAATGTCACAAGCCATTTAAAATTAACGTTTGACTCCATTTGCACGTATGAAATTACGGAGAACTGGTATTCTTGAATGTAAACAATAGCCCTCTTGTACTCGTCTTTTAGGTAATCTATTGCAGCCTTTTGTAATTTGGACTTCATCCATAAACGTTCACAGTTGAAGATAAACTGATCAATTGTTAATAATCTTTCAATATTGCCACCCTACCTTTCTTTTCTGGCTTTTAACTGTCTCTTTCGATAAACCATCCAAACTAAAGGTCCGTAAAGGCATGGAATCTCCAGTACCAACCACCCGTGATCAAGAACACAAGGGTGCATCCTTCTGTGATGAACAGCTCCTCTTTCGATTATTAAATGCCAGCCAGCCGGCTCACAATCTTGAAAAGTGCAACGTCGAGCAAATGCTGGTAGTCACATAACAGGTAGTTGCGTCAGGTTACGACGCTGTAAAGAGTTGCTTGAGACATAATGATATAGCGCACAAAGAGACTATGGAAGTCGAAGAAACTAAAACGATGAGTGCTGAAAAAAGTCTTTTGGCATAACGATAATATTCTATATATATCTGAAAACTTTCACAAAGCACGCTTTCTCGACACCAGAGTCCATTTTCGTATATGTCTAGTAAGTTTTTTTTATTATAACAATAACCATCAGTTATGGACTCATCCTATTTGTCTCTCTGTCTCGTGTGCCGTCGTTTGTTGCACTGTTTATTATGTTTCAACTCAGCCAGCACGAACCGGTCTTACTCCCTGCCCCCTGAGTTCTAAGAAGAGTGGTTTTCCAGGTTCGAAATAGCCACATAAATCTTAGCAGCTTCCTCGTGGACTTACCTTCATCGGAGCCGTCCAAGCAGTCCCTGACGCCATCACCAACTCGTTCGACGCTGATGCAGCGAGGGAAACCGCATCGACACCGGTGTTCGTTCTTTTGGCAAACTGCAGAAGAAGAAGCGAGAACGATAAGCCTATAGCTTTTTTTTTCCATTGACGAGAATACCATGATGCACATTGGAGTTTCATACGTGAATTCTCATGGCGGAAGACGACGCAATAGCTCGATCAAAATAGGGAACTGCCCAACTCTTGAATTCCCGCATGTTTACTAACGAATTATACTCGCTGAATTCAGTGACGCCACGATCGACAGAATCTTTACACAGGTGCGTATTACGCTGCGGTGCGCATTCGCGCAATGCACAGCGCACTTTTTGTGAGCGGATCACGTGGCGTATTCTTTACAGCATACGATTCGGTCTTATTCAAATTCTTTTGGGAGATTTTTCCATCGATAATAAGCTATGGTAATAAGTCAAGTAGTGAATACACAGTGGAAGTTTTTTACTGTTGATGCAAAATTTTTTGCATGATCGATTTCAACATAAGAGAACTGCGGCTGGTAGTCAACGTGCGACTTCGAGCATAGCAGCGCAACCAACATGTATCACGGTGGTGAAAATCGCATATATTATTCAAAGTAAAAGGTGTCCTGCATATCAATGCACTTGACCAGGTTCACATGATGTTGAACAAAACGATATAGAGCTTATATCCTGATCTCGCTCTACGATATGTATCTAGAAACTATGTGCACTACGCGTATTGGCCCGAATGATCACGGCTTTCAATAAAGTGCTTAATGGTTTCATTGAATTTTAGTCGTACTTGACCAAAACAAAAATAGAACAACTCTGTGAAAACATCTATGCCCATTCAGAACACAATGAATTCTTCTTATAGTCCCAGGTGCAGCCAGAAATATTTCTCGGAATGAGGGGGGGGGTACCTTTTTGGGGGGGGGGGGGGGCTCTGTATGCCATGGCGAGAAAACGTGACAGAGGGAAAGGGCCGGGCCTCGGTGTGCCACCCCCTGCCAACGTGCTACTGCTTGTACTGTGCGTTGTGTTTGTGTGTGTGTTCATACCAAGCGAAACAGTACCGCAGTTATAAACCCTAAGCATTGTATTTTCACGGAAAGTATTTCATCAATCACTTCTTAAGGTCCTTGGTTCAATCCCGGGTTTTCGGCACCAATTGTGTTGAGAAAGAGAAAAGAGCGACACCCGTCTTGCCCTGGTTGGGTACTTCTTTCTCTTAGTGGCCTCGAGCAGCCCCACTTTGCTTATTCGCAGCGTGGCGTTTCCCTCCAACGCTTTCCCGCGATAGATTCAACAGAGATCTTTGAGCTTCCAAGACAATGTATGTGTTTTCTTCGGAATATTACTTGTTCGATTTTTATGTACCCATCCCTAATATGTACCCTCAAGACAGGCCACCATCGGAAGAAGTAACCAAATATCTCGATGATGTGAGTGCACTCTACTAAACGGAATAAATTAGGGGACCCTAAAACTTCGCCTTTAGGTATTGAACACGACAGCGATTCTCTGTTTTAGGGCGTGCTTCAAGCACTTAGTGCATGAGACCATTCCGAACTTGCTATACACCCACTATGTGGCTTTAAGGAAACAGGTGTGTGTCTTTTGTAGTGAGTTAGCAGGCTTTAAACCACAAAGTGATCATGATAACCACATGCTCTGACGGCCGATTGCAATGGGCCTTTAAACCACTTATTATTACTGCATTTTTTGTGTTGTATTGTGAAGCATGTATACAGTATATGCAGGCGTTCGTGAAGCATGTGTCACTTTCACTGTATTTTCAGTTTCAGTTTCATTTTTATTGAGCATTTTCTTCACAGAGTTGCAAAAAAGAAAACGCAAGGATGAGAGGAAAAAGCTGCTATGTTAGCAGCTTGACGAGGCTCCTACCCCTTTTCACTGGGCATTACAAAAATCCGCAGAGCACAAAACATGAAAAAACAATTTGACGTCGATTTTCAAAACTTCAAAAAATCAGGAAATAAAAAGAAAATGCATCAAAAAACATCAGTTTCAGGTTTACATAAAATAAGCAAACAAGTAGAGAAGTTATTTTCAATGTCTTTACAAGCACATGCGTGGCCCTGCTGCAGAACATTTGCTCGCTACGCAGACGACTCAGGTTTGCTCCCCATTTAGAACGAGGTTGTTTTTATTGTTGTATTTTATCTTCATCGTTCTCGATTTTTCGGTCACGCATAGAATTTTTCTCTCACAACCGACGGCGTCGACACCGCGATTTGTGAGAAACGAGCTCTTCGACGCTAACGCGTTAAAACAAAAGCAACAGCCCGAACAAAGCCCGACAGTTAGCTACACTCGATTGATTGATATGGCGGGTTTAACGTCCCAAAACTACCATATGATTATGAGAGACGCCGTAGTGGAGGGCTCCGGAAATTTCGACCACCTGGGGTTCTTTTAACGTGCACCCAAATCTGAGCACACGGGCCTACAACATTTCCGCCTCCATCGGAAATGCAGCCGCCGCAGCCGGGATTTGAACCCACGACCTGCGGGTCAGCAGCCGAGTACCTTAGCCACTAGACCACCGCGGCGGGGCAGTTAGCTACACTCATCAACGACAGTAAAGTGCGTGCATATAATAACATTGGCAAAAACAAACAAAGCGAGTAAAACGCTAGCGTATGGAACGTGCCTTCATTTCGGCCCACTTCCCGAGCGTATCAGCAGAGCGTCTCGGAGAGCGAGGAGAAAAACGTACACCACGTGCATAAAGTTACTTTCGTGACAGCTAATTGATCCATCTCCGCACCGCACGGGCTCGACAGCGGCCGCAGCCAACAACAGAGGCAGCGTGTTTTTTTCTTTATTTATTTCTTTCTGTTCCGCGTACCGTGACCCAAAAGAACGCGAAACTGGCGACAGAAAGTGACACACGAGAGACACAATTCACGAACTCGTACGGCCAGAGAAGGAGAAAGACCTGTTTCATAACGGCGCCCGCGTAGCATTTCTTTTGTCTTCCCACGGGAATGAACGTTACGCGGACGCAGGTACGGGCACGCACAGACGCACCGAAGACGCGCGGCAAGAAAATAAGTAGCTCGACGTGGTTGCTCTTTGTTGGAAGGCATCTGAGATGGCGTGAGAGAGAGAGAGGGGAGGAAAATGGGGAGAGGGGGTTGACACGATGTCGACAGATTTGCTTTCCATTGTACCGATCCGGCTCTTTTTTCTTTTAGCTCGTCCTTTCTTCTTTTCTGCGCCGCTCTTCTTTCCAGGTCATCCAATTACTGAGATTCCTTCCTGTGACTTCGTGGCATTGTCGTGTCGCGTGCGTGCCCGCGCACGCGACGCTTTGGGAAGCGTAAGGTAAAGAAGTGAAAAGACGCGGCTCGCTTAGTCCGAAACATTTAGCGAAGAAAGGGAGGGAAGGGGGCTTGTTCCTAAGCGATTAAGAAGGGTCCGCTCGCAGAGGGAATGAATGCTGCTGCAGTTACATCGTGACTCGTGAGTCTAACCCATCTATTTCTTTCTCTTTTTCCCCTTTTTTTCTCTCTCCCCATTTTCATGCTCCATATTATTTATAGTGCGTTTTCTCCCTCCTGCAGATGATGAAGCGCGTAACGCTGTGAATCGTGCAATCGGAACAAGTGTTTGAAAGGCCGACCGAGACAGTAATGAAAATTGCAAGAAAACATAATTTAAGAGAAAGAGAGCGAATGATTTAGCGTCGTGTTCCTTCTGCGAGCTTGCCTCTGCTAAAAGGAGGAAGAGCCTCGGGTCGGAGGATCCGGCCGAAAACGCGGAAGGTTGAAAGAAAAAGAAGGATATGAGCGTGCGAGAAAAATGAAAAAAAAAAACAAATACGTCTTTTGTGTGTGTGTATGTGTGTGTGTGTGTGGTTTTGCGCATAGAACACGGCCGAACGGCGTGCATGAGAGGACCTCAAGAAGGCGGTACAGCCCCGGCAAGAAGGGGCAAGCGAGGAATCTTCCGCGATTCCGGCACAGAGCGAACCCGGAACTAATGCGCGTGCGTGCAGGCGCAGAATTAGGTGCGTTCGTACGTCCTCCTCGATGCTCGCGAGATTTACACAGGAAGATCCCAGCGTAGAGTCGCACCCCGGTAGGAGCGATTGCTCGCTAGCAGCTTCAGCGATCGCGGCGGAGCAGACGTACCGCACTGAGCGCTCGACCTCGTCTAACGCACGAGAGCGACGTCTTCACCCGACACACGCGATCGTTCGCGTTTTTTTTTTTTTTTAGTGCTCGTCCGTGTCAACATGAGACGAGTGGCCGACTTGCGGTCGCGTATGTACTACAAGTGCGCCGCGTGCTAGCGCTACTACTCCGAAAGAGACTTCCGGCTCGGCCAAATTATTCAATTCAGCGTTCTCGTAGGCAGTGCGAGCTCACTGTGTACCGCAGCAAAACAAGCCTGTCCTCGGGCGGGAAACAGGTCTCTTTCATGTGTATACCGTATCACTTCGACTCTGGTATTTCACTTTGGATACGAAATGACAGGTGCGTCGGAAGCATCGCCTGAGCTCCGTTTGAGTTCCCGTGCACGTCGCGTCACACTGCGTTGTAATGCAGCTCAATCATGTTTCTTTGCCTAATGCAGCGTACAGAAAACGGGAAAGGGACTTCCGTCATTGCGGGGACGCAAAATTACCCTTGCGGGTGGGATTGTTCCAGAACAATGCATGACAGATCACGTGCGGTAATTTGTCTTTGCATTAAAAGGAACAGAAAGAAAGAGCACTAGAATAAAATTGTGGGTCAGGCGTGACACATTGCGCATGAGTACAGAAGGGGATCAAGTGTGAAAAATCTGGGTCGCGTTGTCAAATCACTTCTACGAGCCCTGGACATTCTAAAGCACCCCCAAGAAGAGCACAGAGCGACCTTTCAATTTCCTATGCATTTTTAACGTTCATGTGGCACCCCTCTTTTGTGAGCTGTGGTAATTGTGAGATAAAGAAATTTTAAGGGGATTGGCAAATAATGGAAATAGGAAGAGAGAACAGAGTACACAGAGGTGACAGCCAGGGTGTAGGGAAACGTCAGATTCGAGATATTTGTTATGTTG